AAATAAATCAAGGAGTTGGGAAGCCTTAAACTTGGCAATGTGGAAACAATCTAGGGAAGACCTCCTTTTTTCTTTGAACACCCTTTGGTTCCTTTCGAACCAAATTTCGTAAAGTAATGCCTTTATACCATTAATCCGAAGTATGTTAGCTTGAGCCGGAAGCTTTGTGCCAAACAGTAGCTATAGAAGACTCATAGAAACATTCAAATCCCGAGCCCAAGAAATGTTGAAGAGTTGAAAGAATAAGCTCCAGCAGACCGATGCATAAGGACAAAGAGAAAATAAATGGTTCTGATCTTCTCCATTTGCAGCACACAACACACATGTGTCATAGAGCACTACCATTTATCATAGAGCACTACAATGAGGAAAAAAAGTATTAAGCTTTCTTAGTATAGGAGACCAGAGAAAAGAATTTACTGTATCGGACGACATGGGTTTCCAGAACATAGTGTCAGTGTATGTCTAAAATATTTACGAAGACGTGCATTTACTACTAACAGGTTCTTCCGACGGAAATGAGATTGCTCCTTGTATCATCTGAATAGCCCATATATGGTCCCTTGTCTTTTTCTTTATTTATTTTTTGAATCTGTAGTCAATTTATTTTCCAGACGTAGCTAATCTTGGAATTAGCACATATGTCTTAAACTTAGAAACTCTTTTATCTTTTCACGGAAGGATAAGTGATGGAAACTGTATTCCCTCTCTGTGGTCCGCTTCCAAATGGATAACCTATCAGATGATCTTTGTTTACGAACTCCAATGTAACAACACTTTGTTCAATTCCTTTTTTTTTTTTTCCAATTCCTTTGCTTTGAAATTTTAATATTGTCAATTGATAAATTGACAGGGAGGTAGTGATAGTGAACGTGAGAATTATGATGCTTCAGGTTTTCAAAAACTTCCAAAGACCAATCAAGGGAAAGTTAAAATGAGTGTCTCAAATGAAGACCATTTGACTACTCATTCAGTTACAGCAAGTGGTGGATGCTTGTCTTCGCTTAGGAGTTTATATTATGGTAAGATGATTCTAAAATGCTATTGTGCATGAGGGGCTGTTTTCAATGTTTTCTTCTATGCTTTTGTTGGTAAATAATATATTTAATGGGTTGGCATCTCATGGAGGCAAGAAAAACTTTTTGTCAGACTTCTTCAGTAGCTCTGAAATCATCCTAAAAAGGCCTTTTGTTGCAATTTTTCCAAATAGCCTGCGAGGTAGCACAAACAGCATTGCGCCAGAAGAGCCTTTATTTTACACTTGTATTGATGACCTTGTAGGAGAAAATTGAGGAATCCATTAATGGAGCCAGGCCCTCCACAAAAATCAGAAAGGCCAAACAGCTGCCATCAAAGAAAGGCGGAGAAAGTGTAGTGGGGGAAAAAAATAAAAAATAAAACAGAAAGATTTCATTGATAAAATGAAAAATTATACTTAAAGTTACACAAACTCCCAAGAAGGAAAATATTCAGACCAACCTATAACCCAAACTTACAAGAAAAAAAAAAACCGAACCCAAAGAACAATAGCTTAATACAAACCAATGAACCCAACAAACTACAATCAAGAACATCCACCGAGTCTAGAAACCATCATGCAGAACTGCACAGCCAAACACTTGACAATAAAAAAAGAAGCTTGGCAAAAGCTAATCAACAATCTATATTCCAAAAAATGATATTGATTTTTTATGCCAACAGCAACATACTTTTTCCAACATTAGGAATGGTTTAGTCATCTACGAACTGTGATCACATTAGCACATCCAAAGCATCACAGACAGCACCTTGCCTGACTTTGTCCGCTGTATTAAGCCCATTCTGAGAAGAGGACCACAAAAGAACTTTATGTTCTTCGGGTTACTTATCTTTCTAAAGGCTCTTTTTCTTTTTGGTTTTCTCTGCCATGTACTTTTTCGTTTTTCTTTTGGTCTCCCACCCTGTTTCCTCAAATCTTCCTATTAGTGCTGCAGGGACCTTTGAAGTTTAGTAACGTTGCTAAGCCCAGAAGTTCCATTCAGTCGATCTAGATACTTTTAATGCCTTTTACAACGGATTCCTTCTTGGATGAAGAATCTCCAAACTGACTCCAACATACTGCATGCATATTCCGTCTCCATGTATTTGTTATTTTGTCATTTTTATTGAACAGAGAACTATTTCCAGATTAGACTTTGAAATAAGCTTGATTTACTTGAATAACTATATTCTACTGTAATGGAAGCTGTTGAGAATCCATATATATGAAATAAATTTACCCAACCCATCAATTTAAGCTTTTGGGTTGAGTGGTGGTTTATTCATCCTTAACATAAGCATTTAACTAGCATTACATATCAAAAAAATAAAGTACATTGTGAGCAAGATACAATGTAAAAGAATGCTGCCTGATGTTGACATGCCATGTGATCTTGATTTCTAATCTGTATTCTGTATTCTTGTCAGATTTCAAAGGCTCAATACATAAAAGGAAATATGGATAAAATAAGAATTAATATTTACAACTAATTTTCATAAATAATAAACCAACACATTGTATTTTGTGTTTCATTCACTTTTGACTCATCACATGCAGTTTAGTTGATGCCCTTTCATGGTTTTTGGGAAACTGTCCAGGTGCGGGAGTTGAGATTATAGTTTAAGGACAGTTTATAGTCATGAGGAAGAAAACTTACTAGTGAACTGTCATCAGTGATCAGTTGGGATTTGGAGTTGTTGCTAAAGCAAGCTACCACTCTGTTGGCAGTGTATCTGATGTACACAAACACAATGGTTTCTTGAAGAGAATGAAAGATATCTTTTATTAAGAGATCAGCCTCTATTTATAGAGTTTGGCTAACAACTCACAAAACAGTAAAAACTAGTTACTGTGTAGTAACTAACAACTAAATAAAGAACAAAGCTTGAAAGCTACATCTTAAAGGAAAACCTTGAAATAACAACTAAAACACTACATCAGTATCTTCCATATAGTGCTTTTGAAATTCTTTCTGGAAACATATATTCGTGTATTTATTTCAAATGCTTTCCTTGGGTATTCTTTTTTATTTATTTTAATTATGAACATGTAGAAAATAGCACGAAATTAGTTTGAATATTCACCATTTCTGTACATGTTGTTGATAGATTTAATGATGCTCTTTCTTGTCAATGAAAATGTTTTCACACTGCTCCTATTACAAGATTAACATGACCTAATTTTTCCTAAACCCTGGCCTGTGACAATTTTTGTTATTAACTTCATGTAGGTGATCAACCTCGTGTTGTGGGGAAAAGGACACCTCGATTTCCTATTTCATGTTCAAATACAAGAGATGAATGGGAAAGTCGTGCTTCTGAAAGTAAAAGTTGGCAGAAATCAGAAGTTGATGTTAATAGTGACGAAGTTGAACATGTTGCCGCCTTAGCTTTGACTGAAGCCTCACAAAGAAGAGGCTCTCCCTCAACATCTGTGCCTTGCAAGATAAAAGAGAACATGAAATCCTCATATGAGGTCAGGGAAATATTTATTGAAGTTACTTTCAGTAATATTGTTGTTTGATAGTAATATTATGCCTGATATCTTAATTGTTTATTCAATTAGTACCCACCCTCTCCTTTCTTGCTTTTTGAAGATAGTTGGAAACAGTTCAAGCTTCATGATGTTAACTTAGATTAGGACTGGTTTCAGGTCAGTGGAGGACATAAAGGGAGACCATATGAAGAATATGGTTGCGATCCTAACTCCTTAGTAGATAGAGAATGTGTAAAGACAGTTGAAGCTCATCACAAGACGAAGAAATGGTACAGAAAGAAGAAAGTTATAGATGTTAAAAACAGGCGGTCTCATCAAAATGTTGAGTATTTAACAGAAAATAGACTTGAAACATCTAATATGGATGACTTATGCAGCCTCAGCGTTCCAGAGGGAAACGTTGGTACTGAAATTTCAAATGCAGAATATGAGCTATTGTCTCCACTAGTTGAGGGAAAGAAAAGCAGGAAGCTGTTGCATGAAGGTAATTTTGTTGCTCTACTTTCATTCTGTATCTATGCAACGATCTTATACATCTTATGTTGATGAGAAAGAGTCAACCATCAAATTTCTGTGTTGCTAACTTGCTCTAGGTTCATTTCAAGATTGTCATTGGCAAAACAGAATTGCAATATTTTGCTATTTGTGTGGTGAATAGTTTTACTTTTTGATAAGAGTGGTGAATAGCTTAACTGCATTCTTGTACATGCAGACATAACTTCTAGTGTTCACAGAAAATGCAAGCTTGTCAGAATCGTATAATTTCATGTTGCACAAATTTGGAGCTGGTTAAATAGATAATGCTCAACCTTTCGTTTAAAGCTTACAGGATAATCTAGACAATAGGTTATACAAGAGAAAAAATAAAGGCGACTAATTCCTTCACGAGATAAAGCAAGCAACTTACTGCAGTCTTTCAACTATACATTTCCTATAATTTTCTCGTTTTGAAGTTCAGCATTACTTATCCTACTGTATCTAGATAAAGCTGCCCTTTTTGAGTCTTTGTAGGACGAGTTACTAATTTGCTGTTTTTTTGTTTTCTAGTCCCCTTGTTGGTTTGGTCTTTAATTTTATTTGTCTAATTAAAATTTTGTATGTTCATTCGAAAAAGGTTACTAACTTGATGTTTTTTTTTGATAGATGAGAACACTGCTTTAGATGCTTTGCAGACCTTAGTTGATTTGTCTTTAATGATGCCATATACTGCCGCAGAATCAGGTAAGTACATGTTAATTTGTTCTAATTTATCTTAATAGGGGTATGATACGATGGTTTGTTTCATAAAGTTAACATTCTTGGTTGTGCAATAAATGAAATGTCTCTGCTTGTAGCATAGACACGGTGCTTAACATTATTGAATTTGGAAATGAAATCACTTGGCAGCTATGCTTTAATTAGCAATGTTGTATTGCCCTCTAAATCAAACTTAATTTAATTGAATCAACTGTTCTTGTTGGTTTGGTTTAGGTGTCTTCACAATGTTCCAGTTGATGTGCTTTTTATCCGCTTATTGAAATTTTTGTGCTTGAGGGATCATTAAACACGTAATTATGTCAAGTCTCACCTTACTTTTACTTTTTTTTTTCTTTCATTACCTATTGATAATTCCACCAGTAGTAAAAGTGGAATTGTATAGATGAAGCTAATGGCACATAAAATACTCATTAGACAGATGCAATTCTTAGCTAAATTTGTTATTTTCCTTTCTAACTTATGAATGTTGATTTATTGATTCTTAAACTGGCAAAGATTTCATGCTTTATTTCAATATAAGTTTCCTTATTTATTTTATTAATTTATGGTAGCCTTATTTTATATGATTCATCTGTTACCTATTTCCTCTCATATTTAACTTATTATATTTTATCATTGTTGATCTTGGATCAAGAATCATCTGCCCAATTGGTGGAGGAAACTGAATCGTTCAATTTGGAAGACAAATCTTGTATTCCTCAAGCTACATTATCAGCTCGAAGTAGAGATAAAGGAAAGCAAACCATGGTTAATGCAATTTCCGGTATTGGGAATACAAGTTATATGCAATCAAAATCTGGAAGGGGCTTGTCAATCGATGTTGTTTCTAAAAAGAAAAAACGGCTTGAACAACCTGACACAACATGGAAAAGAAAACGCAAGTTATTGGTATCATACCCATCCATAAAACTTGTAATCTTCAACGTGAAAGCTTCTTTCTTTCAAACTCTCCTTTTGAAGGTTTTCTCCATGAGTCTGCGAGTTGTTATCATACCCATCCAATTCATGTTTATTGTTCATTTGCAGATACCTGATGATACAAAAGTTCACGTGGATGTCCATTTATGTGAAAATTTGAAGACTGAAGTAAGTGAACCTTTTTATTGAAATTCTCACAGCTTCTCACCATACAAAATTATAAGGTGAAATTCAGAAGAAAGGATGCTGTTGTTTGCATTTTGCAGAATCTTAATTCATAATTGCTACACTTCATAATATTCTCTTTGTTGTAATTTTATTATTCTAAATGAAGGCTGATCTAAAAAAAAGATAAAAAGATAAAAGAAAAATAACCGCTTTCTGTTGATAGAAGAATGTTTCTTAAAATGAGCATAAAACATGTTAATTTTAGAAAGTTCTGGTTATGTTTCTATTATAGGATTAATTTTTAAGTTTAAAATCAAGGAGGCAAGTAGTAGGATTTCTCTTTTTAATGAATTGTAGTGGAAATTATGTACATAATGACATTTGTTCACCCTTAATTTCCCGTCAGTTGTTCTCATGTCTTTCAAATGAAATTAAGTGTAAAGTGTCTTCACATTTAAATGTGTGGTCTATTAACTTCTCTGCACTGCATGTGTGGTGTCTGGTCATCAGTATGGTTAGTAAAGTTGCATACTGCACTAATAAATTATTTTCCTATGACAAATGCCATTTTTTAATGTTCACAATGGAAGTGTTGGACTCAGTTTGGTAGTGAATTTCATATATTCTGGGAAGGTTAGTTTGATGGCATGCTTTTGCTTTTTCTGATTGAGGCACTGTATTCTAATATTAAATCATTGTCAACAATGCCTTCGTATTTTTTTTTTTTTTTTTGCTTTGTTATTAAAATTATTTTTTTGATGAAACAAAACAACCTTTCATTGACTACACTTTAGCTACAAGGAATTTAGAGAAACTTTCTCTGATTGGTAACAATCAAAGAAGAAATGCAGTAACATAAAAGTGGAGAATGAAAGAGTACACCCCAATGATCCCAAAGTTTAATTTCTTCTAGATATCCTTCCAATTCTTAACCTAAAAAATTATTTTCTTCGTCTAAAATAAATCTTCTAATGAAGAAGCCCTATGGCACCTTCCATTTTTGGAATGATAGATGGGTAGGAGACAGTACCCTCCGTGATTCCTTCCAAAACATTTTCAGCATCTCTTTGAAACAAGATGCTTCTGTGGCCAACTGCCGGAATGATGAAATGAAAGATCGGGATCTTAGCTTGCGCAGAGGTCTCTTTGGCTGGGAAGTAGATGGCTGGTTGGATCTTATACAAACATTGGATGCTGTGTGCTTGGGCGAAGCTGGTCTCTGGGAAAGGATGGGGTCTTTTCCACCAAGTCTGCCTACTTGAATTTGACAGATTGCACTCCTCATTTGAAGTCCCCCCTTATTACTTATATTTGGAAGTTCAAAATACCAAAGAAAGTCAAGGTTTTTCTCTGATCCTTGGCCTTTAGAAGCTTGAGTACTTATGACATTCTCCAAAAGAAATGTAGAACCTGGGTTCTTTCCCCCTCGGTGTGCAGCTTATGCTTAAGTTGCAATGTGACCATGGACCACCTTTTTGTGAATTGCTCCTTTGCAGCTCAGAGCTGGTTTTTTCTCCTGGACCTCTTTGGCATTTAGGTGTGCTTTTCCAAGCAAATTGACGACGGACTCCCTTAGGTCCTCATGGGTTGGTTCTTGCCCAGAAAAGTAGGTGTATTTGGAATTGTGGTGCAAGGGCTCATTTATGGCGCATTTATGACTGAAAAGGAATCGTCGTATTTTTGAAGATAAGGCCTCTACTTTTGAAATTTTTGATAGAAGTGTATAGCACACTACTTCTTGGTGGTGTCTCAACTATGGTAAATTTTTTGTAACTACAATCTTTCCATGTTTTTGAACAACTGGAAAGCTTTTGTATAGGTCTTTTGGATGGGGATCCCTCTCCCCCAGCCCTTAGTTGGTCTTTTTTCTCCCTCTTTTTAATATAAAGTTTCTTATTCAAAAAAAAAAGAAGAAGAAGAAGAAGAAGCCCCATGGCATGCACTTCTGCTTTCTTTTAAAAGGAATGTTACAAAGGACTTCTTGGACGGCAAGGAGGATCTGCCATAATTCTTCCAAAATGGTTGGCAAGATGGTTGGAATTCTTTAGAGAGTCTTCAGATAGAAGAGACCAGTTGGAAAAAGTCAACATGATGATTTATTCAATTTATATACTCCGCATTGGTTGGACCATTTAGATTCAAAGACCAAAAGGCAAACTAACTTCCTTTGGGTATTAAGACTTCCAATGATGTGGTTCGGAATTTTTACCTTTTAACTGATGGGAGCTAGGAAGTAATTTTGATAAATGTGTGAGAACGAGAGGGGAAGGCTGAGAAATAAAAAGTGGAGAGACCTTGGACAAGAGAGATAGTAGGTAGCTATCTCCAATGACGTCTTTGTCTATTGCTAGTTTTCTGTTGTCCTCTCTTATGTAGGTTCTAGCCATTACTTCTATGGTTCTACTTATTATTTCTCTATGGGATCCCTGCATTTCGTATGATAACAAATCCTGATTATTAAAAAACTTGAAAAATGGTTTTGGAAGTTACTTTTATTGCACATCTCCTTTTTCTTATTTTTCTTGTGTACGTTATTTTGCAGGCCACATCTGAACATATTGAACCAATAGATAATGGTAAATGAGTTTGTTCTGTCAATTTTGCATTTAAAAATAATGGAAATAATAATTCATTATACCAGTAGTTCTTTGAATAATGATTAGAGAGAAGAAAAGGAATTGATACGCTCAATTAATTCCATTTCCTGTAGAAAATCAAGTCACTTTACCAATTAAGCTGGGGAGTCGAAGTAGACATAAGATGGAACTTAAAAAATTATTGACCCCTCAAAAGACGAAGTCCTGTGATGACAAATTGGAAAAAATGCCCATGAAATATTCCACCTCTACGCAAGACAGAGGATTCTTCCTCAAGGTAAGATCTTCAGTTTCTTCCTTATTTGGACGCAATCCCTTGTGATAGCCATCTTCTCTGTTTCTGCTTTTGAACTCTTGTACAATGTTAACAGTTCCTACCTTTGCTTCCACGACTCAGGATAAACTTTCTAATTGCATGTCATCCACTTTGGTACGTAGATGGTGTGTTTTTGAATGGTTTTATAGTGCAATTGATTATCCTTGGTTTGCAAGAAGGGAATTTATTGAGTATTTGGATCATGTTGGCCTGGAAAACCTCCCAAGGTTAACTCGTGTTGAATGGGGTGTCGTAAGAAGGTATCTTTCTTTAAATTAATGCTTACTTGAGCCTTTAGAATGCTGTGAATGGAGAAAGTCTGAAATGTGTCTCTGCAGCTCCCTCGGTAAACCTCGGCGGTTTTCTGAACGTTTTCTTCATGTGGAAAGAATGAAACTTGAACATTACCGGGAATCTGTCAGACAACATTATTCTGAACTTTGTGCTGGTATTCGCGAAGGACTTCCTACAGATTTGGCAAGACCTTTGTCTGTTGGACAGCGTGTTATAGCTTTGCATCCAAAGACAAGAGAAGTTCACGATGGAAGTGTGTTAACGGTTTATAATGACAAGTGCAGGATTCTGTTTGATGATCAAATGGTCGGAGTCAAACTAGTGATGGTAGGCCTTCTTTCCTCATCATGGATTAAATCGGATTTGATACTGATACTCTTCCTTTGGTTAGAATCTTGTTCAATTAGAATAGATCATCTATTTTGTGCTGATGAAAAGGATCGGAGATCCTTGAAAGCTATATGATATTGATACATATTAATAGGGTTATTACAACACTGCCTACAATTTGTCTGATGGTCGATAATCTTCACATTGGAGGTACTTGCACTAGGTCACAAGTGCACAAACACTTCTTTTGCCACTTGGTGAACGCATAGGTCTTGTAAAATCTATTATCTTGTTAACCAATCTTAACTTTCTTGGCCACGGTATTTATCTGGAGTGATCAATTGACTATTAACCTTTGCAGGTGTGACCCATAGGGAAGAAAATGATAAAGATATTGCAGAAGCAATAGTTGAAATCTTAATGTTGATTTAATAAAGAGAAATTTTAAATTTAAGAGTGAAATCTAAAAAAGGAAGATTATTTCTCATTGATGATTCATAACTCACGTTGAAGCTCACGCTTACCTTGAGGACGAGAATAAATCTTATTTAAGATCCATAATCTTAAACTTGAAAAAATACGAAGGCAAAATTAATTTTAGATGATTAAAATGTAGAGTTTAAAATATAGAAACATGAATGAAAAAGAACTTAAAAAGAAAGAACTCATAAATCTCAATATGACCAAAATACATTTCTGGTGCTGTTAGTAAGCGCGTTTATTTAATTGCAAGTTTAAGCTATCTGGGCTATGTATTAAAGTTAAATTTTAGTAAATATGTTCTGGTGATGAGAATCCTATTATGCTTCTTCAAATTGCGCATTTATTAAAAATCTATTCCATTTCCTTTCTTTAAAATTTAAAAATAGTAGTACATCAAAACTCGTTACTTCAGTGGAATTCTGAAGAGCATATCATTCCTTTCTCCCTGACCTATAAAATGTAGATGATATAAGAGCATATCATCCCTTTCTTTAAAATTTAAAAATATAGATGACCATATCAGTAGCTGCTTTGTGAATGGAATAATTAGATGATATAAGAGGGTGCTCACGACCTTACTCGAACAGGATCTGTTCTATAGGTTATACAACTATGTCCTTGAGTTCTAGAAAGTTTTAGCTCAGAAAACCGATACTCCCATATTTTTGCTTAGGTTACTCTTTCTCACATTTTACCCAGTATATTCCAAGAGGTAGGTTTTTAGCCTTCTTTCTCTTTTGTATCTGTATGTTTTCTTTATTTATATATATATTTCTTTGTCTTAGGAACTAATTTCATTGAAGAAAAATAATGAGTTTCAGTGCTGATATTGCCTAATTTTTTGCTGCTGATCCTGAAGTTGTCTTTCAACTAGTCATTATTTATTTACTGACACAGAAAAAATTCACTTTAGGATTTTGATTGCATGCCTTCCAATCCAATGTATAATTTGCCAGAAGCTCTTAAACGACAGAGCTGTTCCATCAACACACTGTATCTTGAATGCAAAGAGCCACAAGCAAATATGCATCCAAATCTGAGTAGAAAATTGGAGAAGGCATCCAGCCAACACACCACTCATGGATTGGTAACACACTTAGAATTCAGAGTATTTTCTAATTAAAATTACTCTATATGTTTTTTAAAGTTTTGGATAATAAGATTTTATGTTGTCTTCCTAATTTTGATTCTATATTTGGTTACAGATTTGGCAGCCATTAATGACAAATCTCAATTTTTATATTTTGATGGATGGATTAGCATATTGCTTGTGGATTTTGATTTGGATCAATACTTTGATAACTTGATAGAGTTCCCTTTTAATACTTATAAGGAATTCTTAGATCCTTTATCTCTTATTCTCAACCAGGGATTCCTCTTTTCTAACTTTCTATTTTTTGTAGTTAGTTTTGTGTGTATACTGTCGAGGACAAGAGACCAAATGGAGATTAGAATCAATCTATCCTATTAGCTTTTGCGATGATTGGTTACATCTATTTTAATCATTGTCAAAAAATGCAACATATGTATGTCTACTTCTTTGTGTTGTGTGTGTTAGTCTTATTCAAGTATTGTATTGAGCATGCAAACAAATAAAAAAAACCTATAGCAAAAGAACTTTAAAGTGGTCCAGGAAATATGTTAGATATTTTTACTTTGAATCTTCAAAGTCCATTAACCATCTCCATGCACCTCCATAAATATGCATTTTTTTTTGTGTTGAATCTGTTATTTGCTTCAATTTCATACAAACATCTTAACTTATTATATGCATCTGTAGGTTCCTTACACTACCTTTAATCTGAAGCAGCACAATAATTTCTCTGGGTACTCATTGCCTCTGTGGTTGAAGCCTCAAGCCAATACCAGTGCACTTAGAAGCATCCCTTGTTCTTTAAATGTTTCTCAAGAATCAGGATGTAGGGTGGCCGATATTGTCAATGGCTCAAGGGAAAAGGCACAATTGATGGTAAATGTTGCTGTTGAGGTATCTCTCTCTCTATCACACATTTTGAAACTGTGGATTCTACTTGATTACTTCTTATTGTATAACTTGGGCTCACTCCTTAGAAGATTATATATGAATTTTTATTCAATTTTATTCAATTGATAGTACATTTCCTGGAAAGATAAATTATTGGACTAATGTAGAGAAGAAAGATAATTACTTTGTGAACTTTCTCAAAATAATAAAATTAATGGGAAATGATGATGTATCAGTTCCACAAATGTGCTCCTTAACATGGTTGGGAACTTAACTTGAGCAAAGAAGTTAATAATGGAGAAGCACAAGGATAATAATATTTGATCACACTGCACTTTCAACTTTCCAGCCATCTTTTTATTCAAACCTTATTTCAAATGCTTTACTTTCCTAATAACTTCATGGAAGTATGCAGTGTGAGTGTGATGCATCGGGCTAAGATTTGAAGCGGTTATGAATTTCACTTTTTCCATGACTTTGTGATGGACATTTTTTTGGGATGATCTTGATGGCTTTTTTTCCGAGATGCTATTTGAAATAATATAAATATTGAGATCATCGTTGAGATGTGCACAACAATAAAAGAATTTGAATATGAATGTGGGCTTTCATTGACTGAGTTATTTACTGCAAATATCTGTCCTTCAATTTGTAAATGATCTAAAACTATTATGTAGTAGAGCGTAGGGCTCTGTTCTGCTCACTGGCACAAATGAATGCCATAATATCTCAGGTTGCAAACCATCATGGTGTGACTTAGTGGTCAATAAGGGCCAATGTAAATAGCAAAGGGCTTAGATGGAATGGGTTCAAACTATGGTGGCCACCTACTTAGGATTTAATATCCTATGAGTTACCTAGGCAACTAAATAATAGTAGGGTCAGGCGGTTGTTTCGTGAGATTGGTCTAGGTGCACACAAGCTGGCCCGGACACTCACAGATATCAAGAAAAAAAAACTCAAGTTGTGTGTTTGATGTTTTGCTTCCCTTATATCATCATCTTCTTTGCCACTTCAATGAACAAGTTGATCATTGATCAATTCCTTGGATTCTAGGCATTAAATTTTCTTTACTCTTTTCTTAGTGATGAAGGATTAGGATAGATGGTGCACACCATCAGTAGCCGTAAAAGCGATTTCCTCATACCATATATTTTCAGGTCCTATCAAGCACAAAGGAAGGTGATGATCCATTGACAATGGTTTGGGGGGCTTTGCATTCTTTTGATAATCAAATATCATCATCTGGGTATCAGAAACTTTCAATCAAGTCTCAAGATCTTATGAATGATAACTTAGGTCACTTTAATCAGTTTTGCTCATCAGAACACCTTTCTGCCAGTGATTCATCTATTCCAAGTTTGAGACATCCTGACCAAGGTTATGCTGGAGTTCCTTCAGATCTAATCACTTCGTGTGTGGCTGCCTTATTCATGATACAGGTAATTGTTAGTTTTTAATAAGGCTTTGATTTACGAGGTTATGAATAATGCATTTCTTACTTAATGATTTGAGGTACAAAAGTGTTCTCCCTTCTCCGTACTACGAAAATAACAATATGAGTTATTCGTGTTTTGCCCAGAACTGATAATTACAAAAGAAAATCTTATAAACATATCCTTACGTAGACGTATTAAATCTAATAAGCTCCCAAACATACTCTCTGGATCGAATATCTAATCTTACTGCTATTACTTGTAAGCTTGAGAAGCATCTAATCTTACTGCTATTACTTATAAGTTTTTAGATATACCGCAATGAGAGAAAATTCTGAAATATCCCTTATAGGTATCTTGAAAGTCTCCTGTTACTTTTTAGTCATAATTCCCTCAAAAACAGCCCTAAGAGCATTTGCTGAGAGGATTTTAGCCTTCCTTCTAAAAGTTAAACCCCATGTTGGATTATTTTACTTGGTATGATGGTTGAATTTTAAAGCTGAAGTTCAATACTATAAATGGCTCACTTTACATTCACTTTGAAGAATTCATATAACCCTTTCTAGATCATCATCAACGTATCAAAGTTAGTTATTTCAATGATATGTGGTAACTTGCAGGCGTGTATCGAGTGCCCGTATCCACCGGGCGACGTGGCTCAGATATTGGGTTCGGCAGTAAAAAGTTTACACCCAAGATGTTCTCAGAACCTGCATTTTTATAAAGAGATTGAAACTTGCATTGGAAGAATCAAAACTCAGTTGTTAGCCATTGTTCCAACTTGAATTCAATATGATCCTCACTGTTTCATATGTACAGTAAGTAGTGTGTAATCCTTAATAACTCCAATATTTTGATCTTGCAGCTTCAGCTTTATGTTACAAATCTACCTCTTGCCAGTTGTTTTTGTTTCTAACTTTTTTTTTTCTTTTTTGGTACAAGTTGCTAACTATTATAATGATTTTAAGGCCTGCTTGGTTTTATTAGAGAGGGATTCATTTCTTCAAAGATTCTTTTGGGGTAAGGTCACCCTTTAAAATATTGTAAAAATAAATTCTTTTGTTGCCACATTAAAATCAATTTTTTAAAATGATATATTATTTGGTTTATAGAAAATTAATTCTAGAGACTATTTTAGAGCTCCTACCTAATCTAAAAAAATCTGAGTATACGACTAATGGTTAAAGCATATATTTTTGACAAAAATGTCGAGGTTCAAATATACACTTCTACCTATTGAACTCAGAAAGAAAAAAGAAAATGTTAGATGGAGCAAAAAAAAATGTTTAGATTTTGAAAGGCAAATTACTCTTTAAAATTTAGTGATTAAGATATTTATCTCAAAATATAAAATGATAGGACAATTTTTATTTTATTTTATTTTAGAAAATATTTTTTAATTAAATTAGTTTGTAATTTAACATTTTAGAGAAAAAAACATTAAAAAAATCTTATTCATTTAAAAATGTGTATAATAAGAAATTAAAAATAATCACCAAATATGCTACTAATTTTCTTTCCAAAAAGCGAAAGGAGTGATATAGAAAATAATTAAACAATAAATAAAATAAAATTTTGATTCAAATAGTACTTTAGGCACACAAAATCCTTTTTAAAAATTTTTTATTCATTTTTAGAATTTCAATTTTTATTTATTTTAATTTTTATACTTTCAAAACATTCTTTTGGATCTCTATACTTTTAAAAATTTTCATAAGTGAAAATTTTATGTTAAAATTTGTAAGTAGAAATTAAATTGGCCATTTTTTTAAATATATATAAAAGTAATGCAATAAAAAAAAGGTTAAAAATAATCAAAATTTTAAACTAAAAAAGATAAAAACAAATTATAAATATACTGTGTAAATCATTTTGAATAAAATGAAATTATGAAAGTAAAGTCGACATGTCGACAAACTATCTCAAATTCTCAGTCCATCAACTACATGTCGTCTAGTTTTTTCTTCAGTGGAACTCTCTCGCCCATTTCAAAAGAGCAGCAGCGGAGCGGCAAAGGCAAAAACTTGGGGTTTCGTAATTCGTTAGTCGCTTTCATGGCGGCCTTTGTTTCTGTGAGCTTCTCCGTTCCACAGGCCATGCTCAAGGTATTCTCCGCTCCTCATCGCTATCTATCTATCGTTAATCACATTTGTAGTTGCGGAATCTTCTACGATTCTTGTAATGTTTGTTGTCTCGGAGAATTCCGTTCAAGATAGATTGTTAAGGTTTCTGTTTTCTGCTCGTTTTTTGTAAGACGAATGTGTTTTTTTTTCCTGCGTAATGCTTTCCGGTGGCCCGTTTCGGTATAGGAAACTTGGAATTGCGAGGCTTGTGTTTTGGTTAGACGTTTTTGTTTGGATGCTTGGAAAATGTTCGGTGATTTTTGAGAAAAATGGCAGTAAATGTGAAATATTTCTTGCTCGAAATGGAAAGAATTCGCCGATTGACGGAATATTTAGTTGATAGTATGCTCTTCCAATTTTATTGTAATGATCATAGTTCCATTTCCAACTGTAATTTTTGACATAATATCTTCGGAATATCAGTTCAGGTGTTAAAACCATGGTTGATAACGATTTCTTTATCCGAGTTTTAAAGTTTTGATTACATAACTGAAGTTTTTTTTGTTACTTTATCGTTTGAACAATGCGTCAGGAAATGCAACCAAGGAAACTGGACAAAGTTGCAGTTTCAAGCCGAGCAATTACTGGAACAGGTTTTTCATTCTCAGTTTTTGTATGGTCTGCAATAAGTCGGAGCACCATCATTTAGAGGCATTTTGGCCTAAAAAATTCTAGCTATATCTTATTTTCACCTGAAAATTAGGAAAACGCTGCAAATTTACTGAAAGGAAAATCAAAATTTTATAGTACCTTAGGATTCAAAACTATAAATGGTAATGATAAAAGCATTGTTTCAATACTCATGTAAGGTAGTCCTGTACCCATCATTATTTTGTTAAAGCTTCTGCTCATCTGAATTAAAAACTAAATTTTAAAGATTTTGGATTGCTGATGATATGAATTGCGTTTGCAGCATCGAAGCTTGTGCTATCCTGTTGCTCAAATAAATCCCTATCTATGAAGTGGAGAAGTTCCCATCCTTTACGGGTAACTTCAAGACCTTTTTGGGGAGTAGTTTCTTTTAGTTCCAGGAATAGGGTAATAGTTGGCTACTGGATAGGACCTGATGTTGATGATGGATGGGGATATATAGAAGCTTTTATTGACCGAATTACTTAACTGTTCAAACTTTAAATTCCATTTCATGATTTTCTTCTGCATTCTGTGCTTGATCTTTGTGGAACGGATTTTATGCCGTAGTCCACTTGCTTTCACTGAATGGTCCGAAAGTGATTCACATTTGTGAAAGAATAATATTTAGGTGCTCATCGATAAGTAGGTATAATCGTACTCACCACTATTAAAAAGTTGACAACTAAGAGAGATGAATGTATAAAGGATGAGAGAAAAAAAGACTAAATAGTTGTCAATTTTTTAATGGCGCTCACCAATAAACACCTAAATATTATTCATTCTTTGTGAAATTCGTATCTTGTTTGGCTAGGGAAGGTAGGTATGGTAGCTTGAAATTGAATGCTGAGAGATTATTGTTAAGCAAGAGTTCTAGATTCAATTAGGTTTTAAAATCTTCCTCATCCTCATGACTCACGAGGATGGGAAAAGCTATTAAACCAGAAGCTAGCAGGGACTGTTATTGGGCTTTCTGTCTTCTAAGCATCTGTCGTCTAGCAATTATTGTTTCTGCGAGTCCTCTTCTTCCATCTTATAAAGAAGATTTAGTGGTGGAAAACATCCAAGTAATAGTGGCAGGTGCTTTCCTCTTGAACCATAGTAGAGAGATCAAGGTACCTTATAGTTGCAAGAATCATGGAGGATCTAGTTTGTTAGTTTACAAGAGGGAACAATTTCATTGACAAGGTTTGTTTACTGCGTTTGTGGACTTGAAATTAATAAGAAAATTGCCCATGTAACAAAATTAAATTAGAATTAGAGCTGTCTAGCAACTTATGAGAGGGGACTTTAGGTTTATGAGTACAAATCTTATAAGGTCGGAAAGTTGCTATAGTGACTACCTACTCAGTATATTAAAATTCTACCAACTTTTTGACAACCAAATATCATAAGGCCGGAAAGTTGTTCAGTGAAATTAGTTAAGATAAAAAGTGTATGGCTTTATAGTGAGAGACAAATTAAAAAGTGAAAGGAATTGTGATATGGGTTCAAATCTCATAGTAACCGCTTGTAAGCTTGCTTTTAAGAGCCTATTTGTTTAACTTCTTGTTATCGTTTGCTGAATTTCCTTAGCCTTGTTCAAAATTGGTCTTTAGCAGCTCTTGTAGCAATTGGTAGAGGGAGATCTAGATATTAATATGATGTGATTTGCAGCCAGCCATGAATATTTACAACCACATTTAACAATGGCAAAATGAGTTTGATTGCAATTGGATTTTGGATCATATGATTGAAAACCGGTGGCACTTATCAGTTTCACAATTTGGTTGGGCCATTTCTGTCCAAAAAGAAGATGCATCTGCCCTAGTGATCAAATTGGATTCAATTAGAAAGTGTGAGGGAGGAATAACCATTTTGTTCTAAACGATAGATGAGCATCTATGCGATGTTCGATGTTCGAATCCCACTCCTACATTTGTTGAACTAAAAAAAAAGTTCAAAATCACAAATTTCTTTACTGATCTAACAACCCTTGATCAAACTTTTCAGCGTTGAGGGGATAAATTAGAGGTTGCCAAAATATAAAATGTATTCTAAATTTGTACCCAATGGTGTTATTGGAGGCGTGCAAATTTTGAATATTCATCCAATGGTTAGGGGACAGTCATATTGTAATCCTATATAAAATTAAGTTAGTTTTGATTATTTAATGGAAACTTGGCATGTATATATCTTTTTTTGTTTATTTATCAAAAAGATCCATAGCTATCGTTAATATCTCCAAAAAAAGAAACTTCATTAAAAGGATTATTCAATAACTATATATAGAGACTTGAACACAAAATTTTCAGAGTACAAAGGAAGAAAAAGTAAGAAAATTAAAAAAATCAAAATAAAATTTAAAACTTTCACGTTATCACTTCATACCCCTCCACTCTTCGCGATTTCAACTATTGCCCCTAACTTGGCAATCATCATAAAAACTACCCCCACATTGTATTGCCAATAAATAGAAATACAATTAAGTAGCTCTCCATTTCCCCTCTGGAAAAAAAAAAAAGAACCCATCGGAAAATGGCTTTGAGTCGCTGCTTTTCCGGCAGCCAAATCACGTATTTCCGGCGGAGCATAACATCGGCACAGTCGCCGTCCGACGACCCTGCCGGCAAGTCTGCGGCGGAGCAATTTGCGCCGCTGGCAGTAACGTTTCGGCGGAGGCTAACTGTTGGAATTGGCTCAGCCTCTCTGGTGGCCGTCGGCGCAAATTTGGCCGGCATTACGAGCTTTCTGCTGGGTTTTTCGCCAGAGAATAGTCGCCGCCTGAGGCTGGATGTGGTCTATCCAATCGGAGGGTACAGTCGGTGCTTTGAAGCCAACGAAGGATTTCGTAAGTAATGTTGTGCATCCTACAAATATTTCTTTTCCGATAATTTGTTTTTTCTTCTGAAATTTCTCTCTCGCTTATAAATTTTAGTAGTTTCCTTTTCCAACTAAGCTTTTAATTGAATTAGTGTTGAATTAATTATCCTACGCTCGTCGTACTCGAAAAAAAAGTTCGAATTTTGGTTTCTTAAATATTGTATTCAGTCTTTGGATTTTGTAAGTAACTTAAAAAATATATATAACAGATTTAATAAATTTCTGAATTTTAGAAAGCATCAGTGTTTTCAAGTCCCTAACCTATTAGACATTTTTTTAATTTCATAAGCTTATTAAACACGTAACTGAATTTTCAATTTCTTAATAAACACAATTTAAGAATATGTCGAAAAAGTCGAAGATCTATTAGGCACATAACTAAAACTTCAAAGACTTATCAAAGCAATCAAAAGTTAATGAGGTCATTATATATAGTTGAAAATTTATGGCTTATTTGACACTTTTGAAAGTTTAACAACAATAGATACGACCTTAAAAAATTCATAAATTACACTTTAACAATCTTATATTATCGTAAGGTTAATGGCTACGATTAAATGTTGTATTTATATAAACTTTCTTTATAAAGACTAAAATAAAAATGACATTAAAATTTAAAGAACAAATAGAATTCAACTCTAAACTTCAATTTTTAAAATATGCGTCCTAATCAAAATTCCATCGAGAAGCATATACAAAAAAATAATCATTATGAGTAGTTCATTTGTCTAAAGGGATTATAGTAAATTGAGAGAGAATGAGTTCAAACGCTCATTTTAAGAATTAATTTCTATGTATTTCTTGAAACTAAAAGAATAGACCAGTTGCTCCATAAAATTAGTCAAGATATATGTAAAAAAATTTATATATAGAAAAATACTTAAGGTTGAGCTTATCAATTGATATCCATCTTTACTGACCTTTGACAATTAGATGATAAAATTCAAAAAATTGACTTTTTATATTTTTCAAAATATAAAAACTGTTAGATTTTTGTTGGCGATTAGCACAAGCGTAAGTGTTTATCGGTAAATTTAAGTATTGTTCTTATATATAATCAACAAAGAAAATCTACATTATTAACTACGAAACAAAATTTTGGGTAAGTTGGGTAGTGATAATAAAATACATTCAGCTGCAAAGTAATTCAGGTTTTTTTTACATATTGTCTGATAAATGTGAAATTCCTTATAAGTTATAATGCATTTAGGGTTTTGAATTCTTCCATTATCACACTGCACACTGCCTAAAGTTTTATGTTTCAAGAGCATCCAGAGTTTATATACCCAGAAAGTTGGGTTGGAGACCAAAGGTTGTTGTATCGAGCAGCTGAAAAGTCAGAATTTGAAAGATCACTTGACCCCCCACCCTTGACCACCTCCACTGCAGATCGCCGTCGTCGGAATGTTAATGAGCCCGTGGTTGCATTTGGTCCCCCAGGCTCGAGCGGAGAGCTCAATGTTAGCGTCATTGTGTCTCCTGTCCCACTCGATTTTTCGTAAGTTAACGCTAACTCGTCTACATCTACAGTTACTTCTTAGTTTTGGCAAGTCCTACAATGCAAATAGGAAGTTGAATTTCTATGATCCTCTCCAGCTCTAACATAAGAGAGATAGAGGAATGGATTCGGGCTTTTATTTATTTATATATATGTTTTTTTTTAATTATTATAACTGAGAGTCGGAACTTAGCTCTCCTATACCAAAAGGATGCTTGTACCCAAGAGACATCAAAGATTTTTGGTATTAAGATCATTGAGAGATTCAAAATTAGAGACAGAAGCCATATGACCAAGAAACCCCAAGCCATTGCCAACTAGCTTCGACTTATACTATTTAAATCAACAGAAATGTCCTAGATTTTCTAAAAACTTGAGAGAAAATGTTTAGTTCTTATTTATTATAAACTCTACTTAGAATTTATGGTGTCTAAGGTGTATAATCCATATTTAGATGGTAACAAAATAAGTTAAGATTTTCTAAGTTCAGATAACCTAGATTTTCTTCTTTCTTTTTTTATCATAGATCGCCCGGATTATTCTTATAGGACAGACAGGCAAAGACCTTACAACCTAGACCGTTCAGAAACACTAAGATTATATCCGCCACCACGAGATTTTGAACACAATGATTTTATAACCTACACTTAATTAGTGGGTTTATGATTTTTTTAAAATGACCATGGAATATAAGAAGAGGATGTAATGAACTTGTTCATCTACTCCATAGGGTTAACAAACTCTTGGTAACTTCAATAAGCAAACTCATATACCTACACTATAAGCCCCTCTAGATTGTTCTAGATTCATTATGTACGGTTTGCAATCATCGGGGCTTGTCCTAGGTTCAGGTTTTTTGTAAGCTTCCACATCGAGAGCAGATAGTTCAAAATGAAACAAACCTGCAGGTCGATATCTCATCCTTAATGAAGGTGATTGTTTTGCAGTACAACGATTATAGAGGTGGGGATTTAAACCTCTGAACTCTCATACAGGAGTAGATGCCTAAATAGAGGTGGTTTTTAAACAAGGAAAATGACTGAAATTTTGTTAAAAGGACTTGGCTGATTGAAATGACCTTGATTCTAATGTGTTTTTTTCTTTTTCCTTTTTTTTTTGGTTGGTTCTTCGAATTCCTACAAAGAATTGAAGCATTCGGAGGTCCAAAGGAAGTAGGGGAGGCTGTGATCAGGACTATTACAAAGGCCAGCAAACGCCCTGATCTCAAAGGAACCTTGATACAAACTACTTTGAGAGAGGATTTGCAGAGAAATGTCAAGTACTATGAACTGGAATTTAAAGTCGAGAGCTCCTCATTTCAGCGGCACAACATCGCTGTCTGTTGTGCTCGTCGGGGCAAATTATATACACTGAATGCACAGGCACCGGAATCAGAATGGCCAGTCCTAAAACCAGAGATCAAGACAATTGCCAATTCCTTTTGTCTCTCAGCTTAAAAGGTTCTTATGTTGTTGTTATGAGGTGTGGTTTGAGGAGATCTTTTGACGGGGTCAAAAGTTTAGAATGAATGTATAACCCCTCGTCTTCCCGTTTCTGAATTATATTGTATACGTTCACAATGTACGTACACCAGGCTGAGAACCTCAAACATATTTTTTGTTAGTTGGTATATGCACAAGATCTCACTATTGCATGCATTCATATGTACAGGTCTTCGAGTCCGGTAGTGAGTTTTGGTATTGATCTATAGTACATAAATACAAACAAACTAAGCACAACTTATCTGCCTTCGTTTTGTCATCCTCTCCAAGTTCTCGGAAACAGCAGCAGTCAGATTAGGATCCTCGAATCCAAGCTCTTCGCTTAGTCTGGGAGAATCAAAAAACAGAAGTAATTCAAGTTGATGTGGAAATGAGAATAATAAGCCAGTTATATAGAGTTTTTTTCATACTGATCAAGGATTATATGAAAAGAACAACAACAAAAGTTTGAAGAACAGAGCATCTCACTTCGGATCGAGCACCAATTTCTGAACTTCTTTGATAACTGAGCTTGCTGCATAAAGTGAGATTTTTCCCACCTACTCCGGCAAATGATAGACCAAAATAAGATACATATTGATTTATAACTTACGGAAAAAACAACAAAAGAAGACCAAAAGAGGTTGTTGTGTCAAGCAACCTCACGAACACACTCACGAACATAAAAGTAAATGAATAAAAATGTAAAGAAAAGTGAAAATGAGATAACTAGTAAATAAATTAAATTCAAAGTTATCCTTATCTCTAACCTCCAACACTTGCAGTTTTGCTTCATGATCATTGGGAAGACACCTGATATCTGCACCCAATCTTGCAGCCTCACCAACACTTTCAGGAGATAAGAAATCAAGACCCAATTGGACGTTGGACTGCAGAGTATACAGTAATAAAGCATAAGAAGATTGACAATGTTACTCCTGCCACAGGTGCATGCTATTGTCCAGAAATATAATGACAAAAAAACCTAGAATTAGATTCTACTTGCCATAACTAAAGAGTATAATAACATATTTTGTACTCTACTTCTGTGACATGTGATCAAATTGAAATCAGTTATCAGTAGTAAATATCACCTAGTAATTCCAAATTGCCTGTCAAGATGGCCTGAGAGGCAACTTGGAAAGTAAGGATACGCCTTTTGTAATATGGTTTAAAAACCAAATTTTAAAGAGAACTTTTAGAAATCAAAATTTAAAGAAAACATCTTCCATTACAAACTTCAGGACTTCAATGTCACTGTTCATTATATAGAATGTTGATTCAATTAGTAGTAGAAATGAAACTGTAAGTTTCGGCAGGACTGGAAAGTCAAACTTCTTAAGAAAATAAATAAAAAAGTTTATACCCCTACCCATGTCGAACAAAAAAATTGTTGCCCAAGGAAAATTAAGCCACTTGAACCGTAGGCTCAAGATTTAGTTGCTGAAATTATTATACAGGGCCTCAAATTTAGTATAAGTTCAAAAAATGAGTTCCTTCATTTCCCAATACGGACGCATTAACCTTTACTATTCGGTATTTCGCAAGGATCAAGATAGGCACCATGGCACATTTGCTTCTTATTTGGTGGGTGTCATTTGAATCTTATTTGGGAGGTGGTTTGGCCTCATTCGTGGGGAGGCAGTTAATAAATGTTTTGATCAGAATAACTTTCCTTAATCAAAAAGTAAACAGACAGTTGAACAACCTGAAAATTTTTAACTTGGAAAGGGCATCCGGAAGGAACAAAAACAGCTTCACCCAAACGCTGCTCAAATGTCCAGGGCTCTACTCCTGAGTAAGAAATATGCATGAGAGGAGTTAAAATGCATTGAAGGAGAGCTACTGCGGAAAAACAGAACATTAGGTATCATAGAATTGAATTCCTGTTCTCAACCATGACCAATATAAGCTCGAGGGAAAAAGAAAAAAGAGAGTGCAATTAGTTCAAGTTCAGAAAATACACTAATAAGTAAAAGATATCGATGTGGTTTATGTAATAAATGGCCAACATCGATAATTTAACTTAATTCCCCTTAGAGACTAGACCCGCATGCTTCTTTTTTTCTTATTATAAACGTAGTTTGTGCAAAGTAGAACGGCAACTATAAAAATAGTCATTTTCTCTCACACACAACAGAAGCTAAAGACAAAGTATACCGAATTCTTCTTTCAATTTCCTTTTATGATGTCCATTGAGGTACAATGCTTCGTCAAAAAGAGGCCGCATAATCTGACATTCAAGAAAAAAATTGCAGTGAAGTAATTTACAAACAGGGCTTCCCCCCATTATTTAGGAAGAGAGGGTGGGGGTGTGATAACTTACCAGCTCATCATTTATTTTGGCAGACTTCCCAAATTCCTTCCAATGTAGTCTCAAATACTCAGTCAGTTTGGGAACATCCTTCCGGCAAAATACATCCCAAACGGCTGTCAAGCAAGTCTTTTTAAAGATATCTCTATCTGATATTTTTGAGCTGGCAGTTTTCTCATCAGTACTATTAGATTCCACCTCATTACTTGACACTGTAACTTCCGTCTCTGCTTCACCCCTAGCCTCATGCTCATCCTGCAATCCATGACCATGAACTAATAGTTCTGCTGACCCCCCGTCACCAGAACACATTTCTACATCGCCATGTACCTCGTTCACCACAGATTTCACAGTAGTATTTTCCGTGCACTCAATATCAATCCCCTTAGCATCTTTAGGCTTCACTGAATGAGCATGAACCAATAAATACACCTGACCACGTCTCAGCAATGTGAATCCATGATCCATTCACATATTATATTATTCAAGAGGATATGTATAAGGTTAAATTATAAGTTCGGTTCTAAACTTTCAAGATTGTGTCTAGTAATTTAAAAAGTCTTTGATAAGTCTTTGAACTTTTAAAGTTGCCTATTTGGTTCTTAACGAAATTTTAATAGGCTCTAAAACCTTTGATTATGAACTCTTAATTAGGAATTTGCTACCAATAATTATCATAAAGACGAATGCAAACTCAAAGAGACAGCCTCCCTTAATGCACAAAAGCATATGGCAACGCAACGTTAAATGCAACTTTATTAAATATAACATTACTTTCAACCAGACACCAGTGACTCTAAACGCAGCATTACTAAAAACAACGATGTGTAGGGAAATTTAAGAAAACTAACCATGTCGCGCATGTTGACACTAAGATTAGTCACAGAATCACCCGCACTAGGTTCCTTAAAGGCTCCATAAGATATAAAAAACTTAGGTCCCACATCATTTTGCAAAGAGTAGTGTGGCAATTTTGCTGCAACATTAAGTATTCCCCATTTGGAGTGGATATACTCAAGTAAGGGTAATTTAACAATGAATTCAGGCCTCTGGTACAAAATAAACTCTTCAGATGCACTGGGGGAAGGCCAATCTTTCAACTTCAACATTTCTGCCCTGCCATTTTCCGAGATACGCCCATCGAAATATCCTTCAATAAACTGAAGAAGCTCAATATTGACCTGCAATCGCATAAAAGTTCAACAATAAATGGTATTTCATCATACAACATCAGTGACCACATTTATTCTACAGCATCAAGAGGAGCTAAATATGATCATTCAAAACGTGAGGATCAATGGGCTATGAACTCTTGCTGTAAGAGCCTACCTCAGACTGGTCTGAGCAATTAATGGCTTTCACTATTTTATTCTCATCTTTCATTTTCTCATCAGCTGTATCCTGAATTCCTCTCCAGATAACCACTGGATCCCAGCTTGCAATGGATGAGCTATCAAAAACCTGCCTGACGATTATGGGTTTACCCCTAGCCCAATGTTTTCTGAAATCACTGATTCCATTAGATCTAATGTCTGATGATGTTGGGAAATACAAGAAATTGTCATTGTCATTATCTCGATGAGCACACTGGAAAAGGCTGGGATCAATCGACTCCGTGTCCAGTGAAGTTCCAGAATCATGAACCCTGCAGCCACCAACCATTTCCTCCACATTTTTTACCAATTTTGCAACCCAATTCATTTTAAAAATGCGACTCAGGCTTAATGAATAATAGCCACAGCCACCATATTCCCTTGGAGGACAAGGTATATTTCCATCACAATTGGCTTTCCAGTTGGAGATTTTATCCAAAAACTTCAATCTCTGTCTGTATGCTTGTTCAAACACAAGTTTCTCGTCTTGGCCTGTCAAACCATTCTCACTATCTGACAAGCGTCCACTAATTGCTGATGTGGATGCTTCCCGTAGATCTTGACAGCAACTGAGACACAGATCATAGTTGCAGCTTCGACAATGCCGATGATAATCAATAATAGGTAGCCTGCAAAAATTGCTGAAAGACAGATAGGGCTTCAGTTTAATCTTCAAAAGAGACAAAATTATATAAATATCTGAGAAATCCAACAAATGATTTTGCTTTAAATAATTAAAATGATTAACTAACCAGAATATTATCTTCAGCAAGTTACCAGAAAAAAGAATGATATGCAAAAATGCTAAAATTAACTGTTTAGAAACAGAAAATACATATGAATAAAAGGTTACCAGCACATCTGCTCATCTGCATTCAACTTTGCCCTAGCAAGATATATATCAGCTCCTGGAATGTACACAAAGAATGTGAGGGTACTATAGGAATAGAAAACTTTCAAAAGTACCAAACACGCCATGAGATACCATCCAAAATCTTACCACATATCCTTTTTTCAAGTTCCACTTCAAGGCATTGTTGAACGTGGATTTGTTTGATAACAGGTAGTACAGATGACAATAGACAATGGAGATATTGCAACTTGTCTAAAACCTGTATTTCCCTTATTCTTACCTACACAGATAAAAAATCAAAATAGTTCATCAACCAATAAGAGAAACGGCCCTATGAAACTATACCAATATTCCACAAGGTAATGACTCTCAATAACTCTCAAGTATACCTTTATCAAATTACCGCTACGCAGACATGCTCTGCAGTTACAAATACCTCTACATGCAGGGCAAGTTTTCTGAATTTCCTCCAATGGTATGTCCAAGTACCTGTAAGATATCAGCAGAGGCCCTCAGAATAATGACAAGGTAGCACACAACTCCACCAGACGAGGGGGGAGAGAGAGAGAGAGAGAGAGAAATAAGAAGATTTCAATAAATATCCCAACCATGAAGAGATGCAGCTACTGCAGTATCCTCTCTTATCACACCTAAGACACCAGACTACTCCATCTCTGTCATTCCTTCGACATTGATGGCATGTTTGCCCACCAATCTCCTCAGAAGAATTTGTGCTTCCATCAGAATACTCCTGTAAAGTCGTTAGATTAAACATCACATTCTTATCCAGGTAACGAGATTACCAGATTAACCCACCCCAGAATGAGCAGTCGGAAAAAAACGGAAGGGAATTTTTATTAAGAGAACAACCGGCCTTGCCCATTCAGAACCGTTTCGACCGTCTGTATTGTTTCTCTTCAACTAAATTTCAAACTTCACGAAGGTAGAATTATGAGTAAGAATATGAAAACAATTTAGTTTTTTCACGTGCTCTATTCCGAAAAAAAGAACGAGATTGTCCTACGGATACACGTTACTCGAGAATCCTGTCACCCGTACTCAAGGTTCAATTGTTTACCGAAGCTAGAGAATGAATGATTCAGCAAAACTCACCGTCGTGGCATTAGCATCAAAGCTTTTCTGCGATATATTCCTCGAAGAATCCGCAGCAGTTGTCTTATAAGACCTCCAATTCTCTTCATGCTGCGACAAATCTCTCTGAGAATCGTCGTGCTTTGAGCTATTACGTACAGGCAAGCTCCTAGTGGGCGGAGTGTCGGGCGAGTACCGGGCACTCTTCGACGACTTCTTCCCTGGATTAGACTGCTCCGCAGTCGACAAAGGCGTATCGAAATCGTCACTCTTATCCTCCAAATACATATCACCTTCCTCCAACGATTTCCTCTTCGCCTTCTTCAAGTGCGCTCTCATTGCAGAATTCGCCGCCCTCTTCTTGGCCTGGATGTAGTGCTTCTCGCACACTGTTTTATCCGGCATTGACATGGCGGTGCACCGCCACTGTTTCCCGTCCGACCTCTTGCACCGTAAATCGTCTGGAATTCCGACGTCCTCGCCGTTTGCAGAAGCTGATCGTTGATGATCCATCGATGGAATCGCCTCGTGGAATTCGAGGCGTAGCTTCAGCGGGAGGAGAGTGGAGGTGGAAACTAGGGTTTTGAATTGGGAGATTTTGGTGCGAATCGTCGAGGTAGCGAGTTGTTCAAAACCCGCCACGGCCAGCGGACATTCGCCATTTACAATTTTCTTCTGCGAGCCACAGGGAAACACCAAAATAATTTCTTTCAACCAAAATATAATTATAATTAAATATTATTTTTGTACTAATACTTCTCCATTTTTATTCTTAATTTTAGTTGGTTTCAACAATAATTGACATATACTCTTCTCAAACATAGTTTCTTACTTTTAACAAGAGATGATTTTGTTGATTATATTTTTAATTTTTTGTCTTATACCCTTTAGTCATAATTTGAGTATGATATTTCTAGCTAAATTTTTTTGAAATGTAGTCATTAATTAGTATTAAAAAAAATTTGTTGCATATACATTTTGTGTTAACATTTTAAAAATAGGAATCAAATTCGTAGTACAAGGACTAATGCATACATTTTGAGGGTACGGTAACTAAAAGTATAAAGTATAAAAATCAAAATGAATTAAGAGTAAAACTACAACGGAAATATAGTATTTATACTTATAATTAAATAATTATATTTTACATGTTAGATTATACCTCCGGTATCTCGCATCTAGTCTAGATTAGTCCTTGTAGATTTAAATTGTTGGTTAAATTATAAGTTTTGTTCTAAACCTCTTAAATATGTGTTTAATAAATATTTTAACTTTAGATAAATACTTAATAAACCTTCCTAACTTTCAATATCATATTCATGAGTCCTTCAATTTTAATTTTAAAGATTGTCTTAGATTTATTAGGTACGAAATTAAAAGTTAAATGACATACTAGGTGTTGGTGGTCAAAATCAGACTTGACACACGTGAAAGTACGACAATCGTAATCGCCGGTCATAACAGCCCAATGGGCTTGTCTCCCCTGCTGGCCCATAAAATGGACATTCCACCCCACTATCATAGTATCATGTACGCTAGTTCATTCGAGAACGACCTAAACAGCTCGAGCTCGCAACTAACTTGGGCGTCGAAGTGTTTGTTCTCTGTGGAGCAAGTTCACTTGTAAGCATCTCGACAACCCATCTTCGTTAGCACGTGACTGACCTGTGAGCTTGGTGGAAAACAACATCAACGCTAGACATAGCATTTAAAATTTATAACCTTATTTAACATTTTTTTTTCGTTTTGAGTATCCATTAGGCACAACTTTTAAAGTTTACCGACTAAATTTGTAATTTAATGTTCCAATTTGGTTGGTATGAATTAGTTAAACACTCACAACATTGTAGTTGTCATTACCATGTAAAGTATATGATATGTTTTTTTTTTATTTACATTACAACAAGTTAATGTTTTATGTTTAGTCAGTTGATTGTATATTAGTTTAGGCCAAGTATAAACTAGGGTGGAAATAAAATTATAAGGACCAAACTAAAATTTCAGGCAACACGTAATGAGTAAACTAAAATAAAATATTTCAAACTGTATAGACCAATTTGAACTAAGTTAAAATCCTGGATCCTAAAATTGAAATTTAACATGATTTATATTTAGTTCGTGTGTGTGTATATATATAGTATTACAATTATAGAGGAAGAGACTCCAACATTTGACATGTAAAAAATGGTTGTCTTGACGAGTGGAGGATGGACAAGATATAAACTCAATCAAAGCAAATATATATTTCTAAATTCATGAGGGGTTCTTCAATCTAATAATCACGACGAAGTTCACTTATTGTGTGAATGACCGAAGTGTTGGTAACCTCATTTCAAATCTTTCTTCTTCACATATCATGAAGTTAATTGATTAGTGGTTGTATCTCATTCTTCTATCTCATATTTTTCAAAAGTCGGTTCCATATCACAGATGAGTTCGTCTCTACTCATATTAACAATATTGTTAAGTATTGTGTCAATCGTAATCGTATTCCATCTTAGAGCGCTATGACTTCATCAAATTCCACCAATGATTTGAAAACGGCAAAATTTTTAAAGATTGTCACGACATCATCCACGAAATCTCTCGTTATCGGTCTCATGTACATATTTTTTGATCGTAGTTACGTGCCTTAACTAATTGAGTTAAACTCAAACTAGCGGTCTTACATTTTCATGTAATAGCAACAATGATTAGTATTATACGAACTATAATGTCCATACAAATTATTAAAAAAAAAAAGAATTTCATATAATAATGATTAGAGATTGTAATATGAACTACAATATTCATGCAGATTAAAAAATGCATAAAATAGTATAACTGTTATGGAATCAATAATTTTTTTTTTCATAAATTAAAAAATACAGTATAATACATTATTTTTTGTTTTATTTCAATAAAACAATGTAAAAATAAAATATTTTATTATATTCCAAATCAATAATTTCGACAAATATTATTTTACAAAATAGCATAGGTAATATTTTGGCACGTTAAAATACCAGAAGTTTATATAACAAAATAAATCATCTATATTTTGTTTAGTTTAGCCAAATTTTATTTGTCTACGTTTATATCTAAAATTTTATATTTAATTTAGATAAGTATTAAAAAGATCGATGCATTTTAAAACTTAAGCACCGTTTAAGAATGTTGTTGTTTTATGTTTTAGGTTTCTCTGGTTTATAATTTTCTAGTAATTATAAACAGAAACATGTTTAGTAACTTCTGTTCATTATTTCTTAATATATATATAAATAAATAGGAACAAAATATATTTTTAATAATTTTTTAGTGGGATAAGAATCTTCGATCACTTGGTTGGGAATATATGCCTCAACCCATGTTGACTTGCCAAAGCGAGTATAATTGTAAGCTTGGATGCCTCATCTCAACATGTGTAAAAAAAAAATTCAAGTTGACTTATTTTTTTTAAATTAAAATAAAATTTAGTAAATATAATATGGAGAGATATACATTTATTTGAAGAATATAATTAATTGAAGAACATATGATTTACTATATAAATTTATTTGATATAAATGTCTAAACTATTAACTTGAAAAAAAAAAACAAAAATTCAAAATACTTTTAATTTATTTAAGAAAATATAAAAAGGAATAAGCATTTTGCTAAGCGAGGGGAAAAATCAAATTATAGGTGCATGTCCGCCAACATACAGAAAAATTAGTTGATCAATAATATATGATATATATATTATTTAATATGAAGTTAACAATGGATAGGTAAATAATAAGAGATAATAGGATGAACCAAACTACTTTTTATGATTTAGTTAATTTTTTGAAAACATTTATAAGAAACTAGAAATGAGTAATGTGATGAGATATAAACATTTATATTTCTCATAAAATAAAAAACGGGAACACGAAATAGGAAACGATAACGTTACAAAAACGTCCCTAAATAAATTAAATTAAATTCAAATAATTAAATTAATACAATTGAGTAAAGCTACATATTTTAATCAAAATATCAAACATTCAAATCTCCATTACAGATTTAAATTCAAAATTAAGTTTAAAAATAATTTTACATTAAAATTAAAATAAAAGAGGTACACTTAAAACACTTCAACTTTGCAACAATAATTTTATAAAAATAACAATTAGGGGCGACGGTGAAAAAAAAAATCCTTTTAATTTCCATATATGTTTTTTCATTATACTAAAGAAAAATGGAAATTGTTTCAATCTTTTTCGGTAATTACAAAAAAACCATGCGCAAACTCTCGTGATTGAAAAGGAACAGATCCAGTCCAGAGTTTTAACAAAGAAGAAAGCAAAAAAGAAAACCAGTTTAAATCAGATCTAAGACTATAAAACAAGAACGACGATAAATTTTTTGGTACCAAACGGGCTCCAGTTCCATCTCTTCCGTCAGTTGAATTCTTGTTTGTTCTTCCAATTCGTAGACTCGCAGAGAAGAGGAAGAAGAGATGGCTGCGATGGCGAGGGCGAGCTCCGGGCTGCAATATCCCGACCGGTTCTATGCCGCAGCCTCTTATGCTGGTTTTGATGGATCGCCGAAGTCGTCTTCCAAGGCCGTGAGGTCCAAGTTCTCCGATGAGGCCGCCCTGCTGCTGTATGGCTTGTATCAGCAGGTACGACCCACGTGTTCTAACTCTGCGGTGCTCGTTCCTCTGCCGTTTTCTTCTACAGTTTTGTTGAGGTTCGAGATTGGTGCATGTTTGGGGTGGTTTTGGCTGCATTTTGTGTTTGATTTGTGCGGAGACCGTTTGAATTTGTTCAATGGCGGTGGCATGCTCGTGCTGGTTGATGGACTTGGTTGTCTAGCGATGGTGTTATTGGTTTCGAGCGTGTTTGATTTAGTATTTTGTTCGAATTGCCATGTCCATTCCATCTACGAAATTTTCGAGGTTTAAGTGCGATTCGCTTGTCTTGTTATAGGTGGAATCTTTAGCATTATTGGCGAAATGCGAGCTTGCGGATTTACTGAATTACGGAGTTACTTTGTAATTTTAGATTGCCAATTTTCAAGTTATGGAATATAGAGTCTCGAGTCCATACTTTCCTTTGTTAACTTGGGAACAAGTTGGGCGGATCTGACTCTACGATTTAAATTTATGTAACGGGGAGATTGATTAGTGAGATGCTTGTTGCTTGGAGGAAATAGATCGGGTTTAAAGCTTACTTAATTCTCAAACAATAAGGAATGCTAAATGTATGTCGTGATTAGATTGTCTTATTGAATAGGCTATCATTAACAAGGAATGGGTTTATTGCCTGTATATTCACAACCCCTTTGAGTTTAAGCTTTATTTGGAAGAATCCTGAGTTATGGTAAGGACCATTTTGCTATTTAACCACCCAAATCTTTACTATTCTTATTACAGGCTACAGTAGGGCGCTGTAATGTACCTGAACCCAGTAGTTGGCATGCAATTGAGAAAAGCAAATGGAAGAGGTTCGTGAGCTTATATTGCTTGTCGTGCCGTTATAAATGCCTTAGTATCTAAATCAACATGCAAAAACGACATACTGATTATATGAGGTTTAGAATCTTGCTAATCATTACCTACCCTATCATCTTGGTGCTTGCAAAAAAAGTTGGTCATTACTTGTTACATTTCTGATATCTTCTTGTAGAAAATGTCTACAAGTTTTTTTAAATTAAGTTGTATTGTGGCTCTGGCTTACAGGAGGAAGTAATGTGTGGAGAAGGTTAGTTATGGTATTCGACCAATGCTACTGATTAATGAGTAGTTGCTACTTGCTACGCTCATTTCTGTGTGAGGGTCTTTAACTTTTTTAAAGACAGAACGAAATACTGTTTCTACAATACTGAGGTCAATATGTGTCAGTTATGCTGTAATTCTATTAATGCCAATGCCAGTATATTCCGTGATCAATCACCATTCTTTTGTCAAAATATTGGCTGCTTTTGGCATCAATTAGTTTGATGCTTTTAAGCATAATTTCTTTCAAAATATTATTGTTCAATCTTATTATCGTTAGCTAGTAATTAGTAGTAAATTGCTGCATTGTATATCTATGTTATGGTTTGGTGGTGTTGTATTTGAAGGCAGTCATTGACAACCAGATAGTGGTTTACTTTCTTCGAAGATGGGTTTCGTTACGCTGTATTCGTAACCTCTTTTCACATCTTCAGTTAGTGATTGCTTTTGTGTCAACAGTTAACTAACCATTCTTTAGGCAATTGGATAGACAGTGTGATTAGGCTGCACAGGAGTTTATAATATGCTTTACTACTCACTTTTTTTAATATGAGTTTTCTTCCATCATTTTGAGCATTTCTGAGGAACTTATTTGGGGATTCTGCAGCTGGAATGGGCTTGGGAACATGCCTCCTGTCGAAGCTATGCGCCTTTTTGTGAAAATATTAGAGGTATGTGTGAATCTGACACGAGGAATCCATGTTTGTTGTTGCAATCTCATTTCAATTAATTAATGTTTGTTTGCTCGTGGTAGGAAGAAGAGCCAGGTTGGTATTCAAGAGTATCGAACTTTGTCTCAGAGCCAGAGCCAGAGCCACAACCAGTTTTAGACGTGCAAATTAATGTGAGCTCATGGAATCTACTATGAATCTTATTACCATTTAAATTGTTTGATTTTGATATTTTAGGGTAACATAGAAGATATATTTGTATATTGTTCTAATGTAATACTAAAAAGGTCTTGAAGAGGGAAACATTTAATTTTATCCTTTGCCCCAGTTTTCATGTTTAATTTTAACCCTTACCAATTTAGTAAATTTTACAATTATTTTACTATTGTTCTAGAGCTAATATGTTTTCACTTTTTTAAAATTATTGTTTTTCTTAACGAACATAACTTAAATGTTCAGACTAGCTTTCTAAATTTTCAAGTTTTTCCAAATTTGATAAATGCTTGAAATAGTTTAAATAGTAAGTCAAAAATGATCATTTAAAAACTCTTTAAATTTTCTACCTTTTTAGTAGATATACTCATTAGAAGTTTTATTGGTCTCTAATAATGATATAGTAGATATAATTTAATTGATAGAGTCATGAGTAGCGGAGAGCATCAATGACTGTTTATAAAGCTGATTTAAAATTTGAAACTAGCCTTTCATAATAAAGCAAGTAATCAAAGTTATTATTAGAATTTTTTTACTTCTCAAAATTGTTACTAAAAATGTCCATTCAGCTTGTAACAAAAAAGAGAGAAAGAAAAAAAGAAGTTAAAATAAAAAGAGCCAACATGAGGATAGCTGTTAAGGCATCTACTCCTCTTAAAATGGAGGCTCAAATCCCCACCCACATTTGTTGTACTAAAAAAAAAAGTTAAAATATAAAGAACTTAATATTGAATTCAAACTTGAAGTATAGTTAATATGGCCTTAATTTCATATTACCACCTTTTCTCACTGGTTTTCTAGATACCTAAACTTATAGCTATGTTTGTTTTTAGCATGATTCAAAACCTGAGCCGATCATTGAGAATGGGAATTCAGTTCCTGAGACCAAGACTATATCAACAGAAAATGGAAACCTGCTTGAAACTCAAGATAAGGATGTTCTTGTGGAAGGTTTTGGCTTAATTGTTGTCTACGATCAGTGGATTTCACCCCCAGTATCTGGTCTGCGCCCAAAAGCACGATATGAGGTTTTGGCTTTTCTTCCTTAGCTCATTAAAAATACGATCTTCTACCACGTCATTCTCTAAATAAATGGTTTTGACATTTTTAGCACGGAGCAGCAGTTATTCAGGACAAGATGTATATTTTTGGAGGAAACCACAATGGTCGTTATCTTAGTGATCTCCATGTAAGTAAAATGTTTTACATTCCTTCACTGTATTCATGCAATTTCCCATTTCATTCTGGTTTGGGTCATTCTTTAACTCCAGCCTCTGAATGTTTTTTTCTTTTCAAAATTGAAATATGTTTTTCAGAAGTTTTAATTCTAAGATCCCTTTATCTTCATTGGGTGGTGGAATATCTGCTCTGTCTTCTGTCTACAGCCAATGGCGAAATTGATTCTTTTCTTGTCCAATGAAAAAATAAAACAGAAAGTCCCAGGCAATCTAAGTGATGCTGATAAGTTTATGTTCTGACGTGCACCCCTTTTTGTGACTGAAGTTGTTGATTTCTTTATGTAGGTCTCTTTTTTAACTCTTGCACTCACATGTAGGTTTTGGATCTGAGAAGCTGGGGTTGGACAAAAGTTGAGGCGAAGACCCAGTCTCCTGAATCACCTCCTGAAAAGCTAACCCCCTGTGCTGGTCATTCATTGGTTAGTACAAATTTTTTATTTATTTTTATTTTTTACAGAAGTTTTCTTGTAGATATGGTCATATTGTTCTTCCAGTTAATGTCTTAGTGTGCTTATCTCTGCCGTATTCATACTACAAATGTTATAATAATTATTGGAAATACAGTATTTTTTTTTACTTCATATAAAAAAGTATACATATATATCTTTTTTACTTGATATTGATATTGCTACAATGTCAGATTTCTGCAGTTAGTAATCTACCTTGTTTGACTGTAGATAACATGGGAGAACAAGCTTCTGTCAATAGCTGGTCATACAAAGGATCCTTCTGAAGCTATTCAGGGTACAAATTTAATGCTGTTGTCATGTTATTTACTTAAGTTTGGTGGATAGATTACTGGAAGGTACCTTCAAGATTGTGTAAGTTATTCACTGTTTAATTATATATTTAACTTTCTCAAAATAAAAAATAAAATTGTTTCTTTAACATTTTCTTCTACAAGGGAAGTCCGGAGGAAGAACTCACAAAAATATTTTTATTTTCTCCCATGTATTAGAGATGATCTTCATCCTTATGGGAAAGCTATAAATACTGTCCTCTTAAGAGAGATTGTTTCTCCCCTCCTCTAATTGCATCAGTTCTCTTCCCTTTTCTCATTACAGTTAGAGTCTTTGATGTACAAAGCTCCACTTGGTCTACCTTGAAGACTTACGGGAAACCACCGGTATAGTCCCAATGATCTTATTTTTAAAATAATAATTGAAAAATAAATTACACTGAAGAACTGAATGTATACTTGTTCCCGTTGATGTAGAACTTATATCTATGCACATATTTATGCTGCTTTTCATCCTTTCTTTCAAGGTGTCAAAATTCAAAAATCAACTTTTGGCTTTTGTTATTTTCTCGTGATGGTGCAATATTGATGGCCTATTGTCATCAGTGATTTTAGTTCAGCATTTCGTTCGAGAAAAAATTATACATGTTGAATTAGGAAACGGATTTAGGTTGCAATTTCAATATTTTTTTAGTAATTTACTGAAATCACTTTGACATGGGGTGCCCTTTTACAGCTGTTACATGTGTTTCCAATTGATCTGGGCTTTGTAAATTGTAGGTTTCCCGAGGTGGTCAGTCAGTGACTCTTGTTGGGACAAGCTTGGTGATATTTGGTGGGCAAGATGCAAAAAGAACTCTTCTGAATGACTTGCACATTCTTGATCTGGAAACTATGACCTGGGATGAAATTGATGCAGTGTAAGAAAATATAAAATATTCCAGCGTACCTTTTTCTCCCACGGAGCTGTACTTTTATTTTAAGTTCTCTTTTCTCGTTGGGTGGGAACAGGGAATAATTTTTTATTGATTTTATTGATTCTTCTTTTGTACCCTGAAAACTAACTTGCGTGACTTGAAGAATACGGAGGATTTTTGGTCTCTTTTGAATTTTTATTAGCTCCAACAGATTGAAAGTATTCCATGATATCTTTGGCTGACAAGTGATAACAATACTGCAGTGGGGCTCCTCCCTCTCCAAGGTCTGATCATGCTGCTGCAGTACATGCTGAGCGTTATCTTCTCATATTTGGTGGGGGTTCACATGCTACTTGCTTCAATGATCTGCATGTCCTTGATCTGCAAGCTGTGAGATTATTGATTTATACTGTTATTTATGGATGGTATACGATGAATAGTATATGTATCAAATAAATGGGTTGCTGGTTGTATAGATGGAATGGTCAAGACCTACTCAGCAAGGCGAGATACCAACTCCACGAGCTGGACATGCAGGTGTTACAGTTGGAGAGAATTGGTTCATTGTTGGTGGTGGTGACAACAAGAGTGGTATAGTCTTCTTTTTGGCATTTAACAGTTTTCAACAATCATCCTTGCTTTTTTGCACATCGTGGACCAACCCTCATAATATCCTCGCATTAACAATATCAAAGCAATAATGGCTAACCAAAAAAAAAAGTGGATTGACTAAATGATTATTTTCTTCTTCTTTGGATGTTACAAATTATAAGATTAACAAGACCTCAAAAATTTGAATAAGGCAGGGGATATTAGTTTTTCAAGTAAATAGTCTACTGGGCTTATAATTAGTTCTTTTTAATTTGTTTGGACATGTGATCAGTAAGAGATTTGAACTTTTAACCCCTAAGGACATTCATCAGAATATCTGTCCGTTGGATGGACAAGCTCTTCAAATACATGGTGTAAGCGGTAGTTTTTTACCTCCTAATTGTTGACGATGCAAAGAGTACAAGATTTGCCGTCGTTATTGTAGTGTAGATGAAAAGTAATCGCTGCTGGGTTCTTTTATTAGTGTTTTCAAGAAAATAAGTGTACGTGAAAGTCATGGTGATGCATCTCACTAGTTAGTCATCTAGTGAGACAAGGGGAAAACTAAAGGTAGAAGGAAGGGGAGTAACTCTTTTATAATTGAAGCCATAAAAATGCTTTGAAGTGAATTATTCAAGGATCAAATATATGCTTTCCTTTCTGTGAGTTCACCTCTTTTCCCTTGCAATAACACTCCAAAGGATTTCCAAGGCAAACCCTTTTGAGGCGCTTCTTTGAGATATGTTCCCACCTTCCCTTCTACTGCCGTGAAATCAAATTTCTTTTTAGTAGGTTACTACAGTATTGAAGATTGCAAGTCATCCATGATGTTGAGTAAAGTTTTGGACTTATCATAAAAATTCACCATATGCTCCACTAACACATTAACTAAATATCGATCTCGTGCAGGGGTCTCGGAAACTGTTGTGCTGAATATGTCAACACTTGTTTGGTCTGTGGTAACATCTGTTCAAGGGCGTGTTCCCATCGCTAGCGAGGTGAAAATTATTCTAATCTATTGACTGTGTGCTTCGCTATCTCATTAACTAAGGATGTGTCTTAAGCTTTTTGCTTGAACCACGTAAAATAGTAAAGGTCCCATATTCTTTTTTCCTTGGAGAATGTCAATCTTTTTTCTCACTGTGAATACTGATATACTTTTCACTGTCACCATTGAAGTTAGTTATTAAATGCCATCTTACAGGGCCTTAGTTTGGTTGTAAGCTCCTGTGGGGGTGAAGATATTATCGTGTCATTTGGAGGATACAATGGACGTTATACCAATGAGGTGAATGGTGATTTCTTGTGTTGGCTTGTCTGCTGGCTTCTCCCTCCAACTCACCCGGAATCTTGCTTTTAGGTTAATGTTCTTAAACCAAGCCACAAATCAACCTTGCAATCGAAGATGATCGAGACTCCGGTACCTGACAGTGTATCAGCTGTGCATAATATAACAAATCCCACCAGGGATGTGGAATCTGAGTTTGAAGGAGCGCAAGAAGGAAAGATTAGGGAAATTGTCATGGACAACATAGAGTCAGAGCATTTGGTACGTGCCGCATGATGTTTGCAGCTTTTGGTTTCTCATCTTTTAAGATTTTGTGCTGTGAGTACTGATCTGTCATATTGTAACACTCAAAATTTTCGTCGAATCTGAATATAAAGAGGCTATTCCATTTTACACTTCGTTAACTGTTCACAGTGAGCTGACTTTTAGGAAATTGCGAAATAATCGAGCAGAAGAAGTTATCTATATATATATAATGTATGGATATATAGTGGAAAAGGAGTGAAAGGGGAACTTCCATTTGTCTTCAGAAAACACTATAATCTTGACTTGTTTTTCTCGGTTTCACCCCATGATTATATGCCCTTCCTATTACTTGAATTAAAAATATATAATTTTTATTGTTTAGCGTGTAAAAAATTACTAATGCTTTAAACTTCACACAGAAGAATAAAAGCGAGCAAACGAAAGAACATCTTGTAGCAACATTGAAGGCAGAGAAGGAAGAACTGGAATCATCTCTCAGCAAGGAGAAGATACACTCTTTACAACTAAAGCAAGAGTTAGCTGATGCCGAGAACCGAAGTACTGAGCTGTACAAGGTAATCGCTATACCCAAAACTGATTCAACCAACTAGCAAAGTATGTATGTCGGGGTAGCTCCTTAGAACTCAAGGTTGATAAATCCTGTTCAAGTAAGGTCGTGTATATCGGAATAGCTCCTTGTAACTCATGTCGATCGATGTTCATTGCTTTGGAAAGGCAATCATTCATCTCGTAACTCAGGAGGGATGGTAGCATTGAAAGGAACTTCCCCATGTAGAATACGGAATTTATATTGCACAATATTTCATAAAAATTTCCATTCCACAACTCCTATTGTGAAGACACTGAATGCTTGACTTCCATGGTTTTTCTACAGGAGCTGCAATCTGTACGTTCGCAACTTGCGGCTGAGCAGTCGAGATGTTTCAAACTTGAGGTGCGTATTCCCTAGTCCCCCTCATTGTCTGCTGTTGCTGGATGCAAGTCAAAATTGAGAAAACCGCTAAATTTCATTGAATCAAGTCGGTTCAGTCAGATTGAGCATCGTGGGTTGAGTTTCATATCAAAAAATATAAATTTAAAATTAGTCAGTTGGTTCATTTTTTACAAAATTGTTTAACCAACCTGCTAATTTCCTTGGTCCAAGATAATACTCAGGCAGTCATGTTGCTTCCTCTTACAAGTCCATAAATATCTTGGTTATCTGCTCATCTTTCAACGATAATCAGGTCGATGTTGCGGAGTTACGACAGAAACTCCAAACGATGGACACGTTACAGAAGGAACTCGACCTTCTACAGCGACAAAAGGCGGCATCTGAGGAGGCCTTGAAGGAAAAACAGAAGCAGAACTCAGGTGGTGTGTGGGGATGGTTGGCTGGTTCCCCTCCAGAAGATGCCTAATTTCTCAACCCTTTCATTTGGTTAGTTACCATTAGCTTACAATTGTTACATTTTTCCTTCAATTTTATTTGGTCCCCTCCCCCCATCACATAGTAATTTTTCTGCAACTGATAATAAAACTGTCAGTTTTTTTTTTTTTTTTGTTCTTCCATTAGGGAACCCAAATGAATGTGTTATAACTTCTGAGATCTCAGTGCTGTGTATTTCTTTTATTGCCAAATTTTCAAAGGTTTTGTATTAGAAGTGAATATGATATATAGCTATAATGATAATGAAATCATACACACATTTTCATTGTTTATTCTCTTTTGAATAAGTTCAGTACTCCTTCACAAATGTAATTTCATGTGGAAGTTTATGTTGTTACATAACACATGGTTGATGATAAATTCATCTCAAATTGAGATTACAAAAAGGCTTCCCAATTCGTAGTCTTGCTTTTATTTTTGGAATTGTTGTAAAGAATATTTGGAAAAAGATAAATTTATGCTTCTAAGCTAATGAGTGCGTTTGTTAGAACTCTAAACTTTCATAAGTGAATTAATTTACGCTCTTTGTTGTAGTTTCTACTTGAAAATCATTAATAAATAGTTCGTTCTCACAAGTGTGTAGACTTCTTTAAATGTAATATTAACAAATTATTAAATCAAGGGGATTGTAACGGTTTTCAGCAAGTGAAAAATAGAGGAATACGAGAATATGGAAAATCGACCATATTAATAGAAATTACTACCAACCATTCTATTCTACCATTCTTTCTCTAATATTTGGTTAATGTTGTAATTAAAGAATTCTACACATGATTAATTGATACAATTTTTAGTTTGAGGTTTTAATTGATTGGACCTATGGCTAGTTTAGGATACAAATTTATTTTTTCCCAATAATCTTTTGTTACTTGTAAAATAAATGTTATTATATATTTAAAATTCATTTTTACAAGTATATAATTTTAAACAAGATTATAAAAAAGAAAGGTCCAATAGAAGTATGGCAACTAAAGTTTATTCTTATTTACGATTTTGTTTTTAAAATTTAAAAAGATATATTTACGATTTAAACATTTATTTATAATTTTGTTTGCTTTGATCTCATGAGATCCTTCGTTTTCTTTATTTAATATATTTATCTTTGCAAAAAAAGATATATAAAAGTGAAATGCATCGATTAAATTTTGTAGTTTAAAATACATAAAATTTATATTGATTTTAGTAAATTTGCATTATAATATCGGATGCAATTGAAAAACATATTTTCGTAAAATTTTTATTATATATCATGCACCCAACCAAAGTATTTCTTTAGGGGGCAAAATATTATAAATGTTTAAATTACTTTGTAAAATATAAAAGAACTAAAATTAATTATAAAATAATAATAACATATTTCCATGGTATGTTTATAGTTACTAAGATATGAAGCTTTTAGTAGGTTACAGTATTATAATCTCGACCAAAATATTAGAAGATTGAATCCCAACTCGTATTGTTAAAATGACAAAATATTAAGGTCTCTTCTACTAGGATGATGATTATAATGATAGTATTGATTCACATATGTGTGTCATTTATGTGAACTTCCGATTAGTTGAGTTGACGACTTAAAAATAGGACCTTACATTGGTGTGGTGTTTGGTCATGCGTATACTTTGAAGTTTGAGTTACAACTTAATTCGAAGTCCATACTTGCGGTCGGTTGATTTTTCATTGATGGTTATTTGTAACACTCCACCCTTAGGATTCAAAATTCGAATTCAGCACTTAATTGCCCAAAAATTATCCAGCACCTCATGCAACTAGATTGCACCACCGTATTTATCTAAGCATTAGATATCTAATTCACAATATTCACATCTCCAAGTTGTACTCCAACTAGACTCTTGCTTTGTGGGTAGATGAGTTTATACCAGCCCTTCGTAATTCTCGATTCGAGCTTGGCTCAAGACACGTATTCCTTGATGAGAGGGCCATATAGCACGTCGAGTGTTACCCCTAACATAGACGTTATAAAAAGTATATATGAACTTGAATTTATTGCCACGCCTCAGTAAAACTGATGTATTTTTTTTTAAATGTTGCCCCCGTGGCTTAATTTAATGAAACCTTTTATTTTTCAAAAAAAAAAAAAAATTAATGTATTTTTCCCCCATTTATTTAAAATATTTTCCTAACAAGGTTTTAAAATTACAATATCAAATACCTAAAAAACCAATTTTATTTTTATTTTTATTATCATTGCAGCATATATTTTTTTTCAATATCGTTATATAAGTATATGACGTGGTGGCAATATTGGAAAGATAAAGCCTCTCGTGATCTTGTCGTTTTCTCAAAATAAAAAGGCTGAGAAAAAATTTCACTCAGTTCCCAAATTATTTCCCAGTTTTTTTCTTACCGCCCAAACACAAACTCTTTCTAGGGTTTTAGATTTGCTCGAAATCAGACACTTTCTCAGCTTTCTTCAGGAATATCCGGCTCTGTTTTTTCAAAATTTCCACTCGAATTATGCGCTTTTCGATTCTCGTAATCGTGGATGCTGTTTCTGTAGGGTTTATGAAATGATTTCACATCAGTACAGATGATATCGGTGATGAACAAGGATTTTGAATTCGAGAAGGAACCGGATGGCCTCGAAGAGTTGCGGGCGGAGGGCAGGGTTCTGGAGCACGCCGCTGACAGTTCGAATCCCGACGAGAAGGTTTCTGATTCGGGAGTTCTTAACGAAGCTAGGGTTTCTTTAATGGAGTTGGATCCCGGAGCTCCCGGGAGTGAGTTCGATGCGAAGATGTTGGCGAATGGTAGATCTGCGGAGTTTAGGGTTTTCCCGTCCGAGGAGGTGAGGTTTCTGGTCAGTTCGGTTGGCGAAGGCGATGGTGGAGGTGCAGGTATGGAAATGAAGTTCTCGAGCTCTCTTGTTGATGTTAAAGTCTCAAAAACTGATAGATTTGATGGTTCAGTTGGTCATTTCGATGCACAGAACGATCGAAAGGCTAATTTGTCTCAGTATAAGTCTTTAATGTCCGAGTTTGATGATTACGTCGCGAATGAGACTAGTGGAGCAATGGTAGCGGCGGCTACTTCGAGGGCGATGAGCTATGGGTTTGAGGTGGGGGATATGGTGTGGGGTAAGGTCAAGTCTCATCCGTGGTGGCCTGGGCATATATTTAACGAAGGTTTGGCTTCTCCTTCCGTGCGACGCACTAGGAGGGAGGGATATGTTTTGGTGGCCTTCTTCGGGGATAGCAGTTATGGGTGGTTTGACCCTGCTGAACTGATACCATTTGATCCTAACTATTATGAGAAATCGAGGCAAACAAATTCTAGGACCTTTGTAAAGGCTGTCGAGGAGGCAGTCGATGAGGCGAGTAGGAGACGGGGTCTTGGCCTGGCCTGCAAGTGTAGGAATCCTTACAATTTTAGGCAGACGAATGTTGAGGGATACTTTGCAGTCGATGTTCCAGATTTTGAGGCAGGAGGTGTTTACTCCTGGAATCAGATTAGGAAGTCGAGAGATAGTTTCAAACCCGGTGAGACTCTTTCATTTATCAAGCAACTGGCATTGACTCCACGAGGCGGTGATCATAGAAGCATTAACTTTGTGAACAATAAAGCTACAGTATTTTCTTATCGAAGAGCGGTCTATGAAGAGTTTGACGAGACATATGCTCAGGCATTTGGTGTGCCGGCTGGGCCTGGGCGGCCCCCTCGCGCTGCATTGGATCAGCTTAGGGAACCAGCTCGAGGTACTTAGTTACAGGATTCGTAGGTTCTTAGTTGTTTTCAATACCTCAATCACCCTCCATTGTCCTTGCAAGTCCTACCATCCCCTCCCAACAACAGAAATAAATAGGTTTCAGCATGACTTGGTTTCATGGGTTGGAAGAAATTATGTTACTTTAATCAGGCATGTGGAGATTGAAAAAGTTCTGTGCTTGTCATGGTTTCTTGATTTACATTCCCGCTATTTTCTGTTCTAGTAATTGAAAAGGAATCTGTGCGCGTGCAATTATGCATGGGAAACGATACTCACTTTGCAGATCTTGGATGGCTCGTACAGCCAAGGAACTGTTGACTGTTGAGAATAAAGGCTGGAAGTGTGGTGTTGCATTTTTTTTAAATAGGGTATTCAGAATGTAACTTTCAAGTTTGTAATAGACAAGGATGGTTCTTTCATCTCTATCATCACTATATACAATGTTTGATTTAAACTCTCGATGCATGCCATGTATATGAAGTTTCTTCCTTAATCAACTGACCATTGTTAATGAACCTATCAAATGATCTGACTGGTCCATTTAATGTTTCTGTATTTGGCTGTTACCAGTCGTTTTTTTCCCCTTTTTTCGTTCGTGCCGATGTAGTTTTCTGCAGTTGTGAACTTCAGTCTTATAAGTAAAATTGTCTTAGAATACTGCATTTAAATTTGTAATGCATCATGCATCTATTGATCGAAATGGGTAGTTTTCCCCTTCCCTTCCTTTCCTTTCTAAGGATCATTGAAAATATCTGTCGAGCCATTTTTTGGTCATATAAAATTTCTGTTCCGGTGACTGCTTGACTTTGTATCATTAGCATCTTCTCTGTTTGTCAATTATAACAGGGATGCCCTTAATATTTATCTCCTAACTGAATTATACGTATGCCTCGATTGTGGTCTATTCCATATGAAATTTTGTATTAATTTTATTCTATTTTGCTGCCATTTGAGTGAAGAATTATCTTGCATAACTTGCTTGTATGACTTACTTTTGAAGTGCATTTTCTTCTCATCAATTTGTTAAGCTAATTACAGTTTCAGCCAGATCCTTAAATCCCTTCTTTTTCCTGTACTAATTTTCTATGAACTAGGAAATGTTAAGTGTGTTATATTTATCTGGTTCTGACGGATTTGCTTTTACCAGCTCCTTTGAGTGGCCCCCTGGTGATTGCTGAAGCTTTGGGGGGTGGGAAAAGTGCAGTAAAGTCTATGAAGTTGAAGGACCAATCTAAGAAAGACAGGTACCTTCTCAAACGCCGAGATGAACCGAGTAACTTGAAGGACATTGGGACTAATCAGGAGCTGGCAACTTCTACTGTTCCCTTATCTCTTGTGGCGGAATCTGCTGAAACTGGAGGCGTTGGAGATTACGTTCTGTTAAAGAGAACTCCAACTGTTTCTGTCGGGCCTCACATACTGGCAAAAGGTGAACACACCGGGTTTGTTGGTAGGGATAGTGTAATTTCTAGTTTGAGTTTACCTAGCAGTGTAGCCGAGATGGGTCAGGTGGCCGTGGGTGCCAATGTTGTTAGCCAAGTGCATTCTATGGGCATTGAGGCATCCTCTGATAAGGAAATAGTTCCTCCAGGGGAAATGAAAGAGACAATGGTGCCCAGTGAAGTTGTTGGTTCTAGGAACGATGCGCCCCCTGATATGGCAAGTGAGAGGGCTTTTCCTAGCATGTTGGTGGATAGTGAGCCTCCTCTTCATGACAAAGCTGAAGCTTCGGGGGCTGAAATTATACTGAAGTCTTCTGAAATTCCTCAACAACCAGAATTTAGTAATTCAGTGAATGTTGAAGGCGACTGCACATTGGATCAAAATTTGGACAGCCACGTCGCCCCCGATCCTTCATCAGCTGGATCAGCTGGTGTGAAATATTCGGATGGAGATAGTTCTGTTGGAGGAGTCATGAAGCCAAAGGTTCTAAAACGGCCAGCAGAAGACATGAGCTCCTCTGGAACCTCATTTATGGTGGAGAAAAAGAAGAAGAAAAAGAAGCGAGATTTAGGTGTGGAAATAGGTTCTGACCATGTACAAAAGCCGTTGGTCTCAAAGAAGATTGGGAGCTCTGTAGGAAAACTTGCAGATAAATCCAACCAGGTTGGTTCCAGTTCGAGAGAGGATTTTCGGCTGGAACATCAGAAAAAAAGCATTGCGTCCTCAAATAACTCCATCTCACATGCTAGTGTGTTGCCAGTGTTTGGCCGAGGGAATGACGAGGCCGATGTGCCCCAACTATTAAGTGACTTGCAGGCCTTTGCTCTTGATCCTTTCCATGGGACTGAAAGGAATTGCCATGTGATTGTTCAGAAGTTCTTCCTGCGGTTTCGTTCACTTGTTTATCAGAAAAGTCTATCATCGTCTCCGCCTTCTGAGGCTGAATCTAATGAATTTCGTGCAGTTAAATCTCCAGATGTTAGCCTTGGAACTGATAATTTAAGTGAGAATGTTCGAGATTTGTCGTCCTCGAACTCAGTTAAACCCTTACTCAGACGTGAAGATCCAACAAAATCTGGGCGGAAACGTGTCCCATCGGATCGTCTGGAGGAAATGGCAGCAAAGAAGTTGAAGAAAATTAGTGATATGAAATTGTTGGCATCAGAGAAAAAGGGTACCCAGAAACTTGTTGATAGCCAGAAACGAGAATCCAGAGATTCTGCATTACCTACAACAGTAAAGATGGTCAAGCGAGATTCTGTGAAGAAGTTGGAGCCTCCTTCAGTAAGGAAAGTCGATCCAACCATGCTGGTTTTGAAGTTTCCTCCCGACACATCGCTTCCATCTCTCAATGAACTAAAGGCGAGGTTTGGTCGGTTTGGGCCTATTGACCAGTCAGGTCTCCGCATCTTCTGGAAATCATTAACATGTCGTGTTGTTTTCCTTTACAAATCCGATGCGCAAGCAGCATTCAAGTATGCAATGGGAAACAAGTCCTTATTTGGGAATGTAAATGTGAAGTACCAGCTTCGAGAAGTAGGAGCTCCTGCAACCGAAGCACCCGAATCCGAGAAGGTCAGCACAGATGACAATCCTATCGAAGCTCCCAGGATGAAGGATCCCACGGTCTTACCAGGGCGGGCATCTACCCCGGTCATACATCAACCGCCCCTTCTACCACTCCCAGCAGTCCAGCTCAAATCATGCCTGAAGAAGTCATCAGGCGACGAACCCGGTGCACCCAGCATCGGCATGGGAGGCAGCAGCAAAGGAACGGCGCGAGTGAAATTCATGTTGGGCGGGGAAGAAAGTAGCAAGGGAGAGCAATTGATGATGATTGGTAATAGAAACAACAACATCAATGCTAATTTTGCAGATGGTGGAACATCTTCTGTTGCAATGGATATTAATAGTAACTTCTTTCAAAAGGTCGTTTCTCCACCTCCACTCCCAATTCCACCCCAATTCGCTAAACCCCCTCATACTCATACTATTACTACAAATATTATGCATCAACACTCGGAAATGCCACCACCCAGAAATTCACTCAACCACCACCACCACCACCACCACACATCCTCCACGGCACCACCGACACCGCCACAACCACCACCTGCCCCCGTCCCTGCTGCCACTGACATTTCCCAACAGATGCTGAGCCTTTTAACAAGGTGCAGCGATGTGGTCACCAACGTAACTGGCTTGTTAGGCTACGTGCCTTACCACCCTCTTTGATGACAAAAAATCTGCACAGTTTTTTGCAAGGGTAAAAAATTCACATACTCCCCGCCATACCCGAACCTGGATATAAGAGGGAAACGAGTAGCATGGCGTGGCTTGGTTCGGTTTGGTTGAAACCCAGCCTCTCGTTTGGGAGCTTAATTCATAACTTCCTCCAAAATGAACCTAAATGGGGTGTGTTTTTGAAGTCTGGGCAATGGAAGAAGAAAAAGGGGGTGGGGGGAGAGGGGGGCAGTTCTGGAATTTCCAAGTGGGCTTCAATTTTCTTAAAGATGATGGAGATGGGATTTGAAGTTGATACCATAATGTACTGATATTGAGATAGTATATGGTCATATTATTGCTCAATTGCTTCCTTTTTTCTTTTTGTTTTTTTTTTGGGTCAAATTTTCTCATGTAAATTGTTGACTATGGAGTAGTGGACCACGAATCCCATTCAAAGAGTGAGTACTCACTCTCTCTACTTTCCATTGTGTGTTGAACTGTGAGACTCTAGTGAGAAAAATTTGCTTTATTTTCTGCCTTATGTGTTTTGCTTTAAATATAAAAATAGAATACTTTACCCCATTTTCCCAATTTTACTTTAAGAAAAAAAAAAGTCACCATTTTCCTTCTTTGGCTTAAAACTTTTAGGCAATGAAAAATAAGCTCCTAATTTTTAGTTGCTTATGCTTAGCTCTAAACTAACGTTGGTGGTACTTATTTTAAAGATCATATACACCATTTGTTTGTATTTATTTTTTTGTACTTGAGAATTTATATTTCATCCCACCACGTATTGAATTTTTAAAATCATATATTTACTTGATGTATGAATTTTAAAAGATACTTTCATCAAGGGTCTCCATCTCACTTTACATTGGTGATGTAATATTTTTGACAAATGAAAAAGTATTTTCACCAGTAGTTACTCTAACCAAATAATTTTTCTAAGTTACTAAATCATGTTGAGTTAAGTATTATTGGAGCTCGTAACGATCATCAAATTAACTGTTGTTAGTATAATAAAATTTTTAACAAAATAATTTGAAACTATTGAGTTTATGTTGGGTTGAGTACTATTGAGGTCATGATCATCCAATTAAAATAGTGATCGATCTTTCACTCTACAATTCAAATTGTTGAATTAAAAGGATTTTCATTGAGTAAAAAATAAAATAAAATAAAATTCATAAATGAAGAAAATCACGGAGAACAAACTTACTTATATAACCTTTAAAAAAAGTCATAAATAATTATTGAAAAGAAAATAATAATAATGAGTAAAATTTTGGTTTTGAAAATAAGTAAGAGAAAAAAGGTTGTATCTGGTGAAGTCCAGAAGACTTTGGAGTTGTCATGGCT